TATTAGAACTAGGGAAGCAGTTAAGATGATGGATGGACGAGTGTGCGTGGGTCATAAAACGGTTGCGATTTCCCCAAGCGAGAGGATCGTCGCTGTCTTCGGGGTTGACATGAATTTACACATTTTGGATACCTCTGGACATGAACGCTTGGAGATTATCAAATCGCCTTTCAGTGGCTCTATGGCGTTTTCTGATGATAGCAGGTTGCTTGCCGTGTCAAGACCAAATGGTGAGATATTGGTTTGGAACACAGCTTTGCGTATGTGGACTTTTCGATTTGAGAGCCACTCGCGCGACGTTTCGTCATTGGTATTTTCCCCTGATACCAAGTATTTGGCATCATGTTGTATGCATAAGCATTCGGCTAGAATGGGTATGAGTCTGCACACTCAAATCTGGCCGCTCGAAGTTCCACATAGGAGAGGAGTTGAGGACGAACAATATGAGAGCCGCAAAATATCCAACGTGAACCTTTCTCAGGACAACAAATGGATCGCTACAGTATCCGATAAATCAAAAGTTAGTCTGTGGTCAAGCTCTGGACGTTTCGAGAGACGTCTCGAGGATGATGGAGTGATGGCACTCAAATTTTCATGGGACAGCACAAAACTTGCATTTTCCACAATAAAGGGAAAGGTGGGAATTTGGGATCTCGAAAGAGCGTGCTCTATGGAAATCAATGCATTCAAGTACAACTTTCTTCTAGATTATTGCCTGGAATTTTCTAGAAACGATGGACTTCTCGCTGCGTCGGCCGAAGAGCAACTGAAAGTATTTTACGTCAAAGAAAGCAATTTGCAAGCGATGAGAAGGAAATCCCAAATCTTTGCGGACCATAGTAGCACATTTAAACTAAAGACGAGATGTGAGGACGACCCATCGACGATAAGCATTGCCTGCATCTCCTTGTTTGGTACTTGGGTCGCCGCGGGTTCCTGGTATGCTAATGTTATTTTGCTATGGGATGTTGACACTGGGCAGCTGATTAATCGAATTCCACTACTGTCACCTCCATACACTCACCGGAGGACAATGGATATGAGGAGTATCGGGGGCAGCACTCAAATTTTATCAAGTGACAGCAATGATCGTCTAATGATCATGGAAGTCCCCTCCGGCCACATTGTCAAGACAATGCGGACACCTCCGCTAAGGAGAATTGCCTGCAATCAGGATGACCATACACAGCTCTTTACAAACTTGGGTAAACTTGATCTCACGCAGTTTGATTCAGGTGATTCTGAGGATCCAAATGGGGTCAGGTTTCAAGGATACGGGTCGTCAACTGACTGGGTTTTTAAGGATGGGAAGAGGATTCTTTGGCTGCCTCCGGACTGCCGCAACCATTCAATCAGTAGGAACCAAATTGCTATAGCCTGTCCAGGATGTTTTTTGTTATGTATCACCTTTCCTGATGATATTTCTAGTTTTTTTTGAGTAGGTTCCAGTTATAATTTCAAGATGTCATCTCGTTTGAGTCTAAAAGGCCCAGCATCGTCCCCTGTTCGGCCTATCAACTCCTTCACCGAAGAGTCCACGAGTCGGCATAGAATAGGAACGCGGAGGTATCGTAAGTGCTGGAATTATCTCATCCTAGGGCAGGCTGTCCGTTTTTCAACGATGGAGCCCCAATCTTCAGAGCTCAACCTGTGCGTCCTAACAGTATATAGTGTAATAAGGCATCTCATCACGACGAGCAACGCGAGTAATATATTACATACTTAACCATAAAAGGCAGTAGGATTCCGCAACTTGTAAGTCGTTTCATCTGTCTGGGAATTTAACCACCGTCACGCAGCTACGCAAGAGCTATGATCACGGGATCTGGAGCAGAAGGCCCTGACTGACTTCTTGCGTTTATAGAACTCACACTCAAGATACTTAAGCAGGCGACAAAAATTAAAGAATGCAGTATTTCGCCTTTCATTCGCCACATCTTTGCCACAGAGCCAAGTACCCGACGCCGGGCAAGGCCTACACTGGGCGAACTTCAAGCCGTCCAACAAGTCTGGTGCAATATACTATCCTAACATTATTCCTCATTTTGTATCCAAGTCTACCAACTTTTCATTTTCACTCTACTGAACAAACTTTTCTCTACACCAGGCACTTTCCGACCAAACGAGTCCTTGCCCCAACTGTCCATCCAACGTTTGCACGCCATCTCCTCTATCGAGTCATACCCTACGGCCGACTGGCAAAATTATAAAGGCTGCAAACAAGTATCATCGACCAACCCCTATCATGATCCTTAAAAAAACGCCTACCTGACATCTTCCTGGTATTCCGGGTACGGCTGATCATTTCCAGCCGACACATTCACAGGCCGCTACTAGCAATCACAAAGGCCTCGCGTGCCTCGTCTGGCCCGCCTGCGCTTTTCTTCTTCGCGTTTCTTGCCACCGGCTCGAAATGCGCTCAAAGTACTCGCTGGGCACGGGCGTCCTGTACTTGCCGCAAAAGACGCCGACCTCTGCGTTTGGATTCGTCCAAAACCTTTGCCGCCATTCCTAGCCCCCTGCACTGATATACTCTGCCTCCCTGGCAAACGGCAATGCCGGCAGCATCCTGTCCAAGATATTGCTCATGTCATCATCCATACAAGGCGATTGGAGGTGTGCCCCTTGCCACGGCGGCCGAGATACGAACATGTTGGAGGGAAAACAACGACTCGTGCAGATCGACAGCGGCTGTTGGCTCTCGAATCGCCCAGCTAGAGAGGGAAAAGAGCCAGCATATTTGTTCCCAAGGTCAGGCCCGCGTCGAGTTCCCAGCGCCTTTCTCCTTGAGCAAACGAAGCTGCATCGGCTGCTTGGCCTGGGTCTCGACGGACGCGGGGGAGAGGCAGCACGAGGAGGCCGTACCAAAATCGCAGAGATGCAGTATATTGTATCGCGCTGGAGGTAGAGCCATATTGGGAAACTAAAAGAGCGACTGCGGAATCGAGTAAGGGCGGGAATGTATTCCTTCAATGGGCTGTAGCGCGGCTGCAACGTTCGCCATGCAGCTAAGTTGGATATCTTCGACGGGAAAAGGTAAAATACACGCCGCGTGTCGTACACTTCCACTAGACCATAAATACTTTAAGAGGCGTGTACTAATAGATATAGTTATTAGATGTTACTTATAGAGTATTTGACCAAGTGTTAGGCGTCATATCTATAGGATAGAGTTCGCCGAGAGCGGAAGGTCATGGGATTTTATAGGCGTGGCGTCTATTAACTCTACATGGGCTCGCAAAATGCAACTCTACCCCGCGCACATGCTCACAGGAGAGGAAGGTTAACTAAAACGACTACGCCCGTTATTTAATGTATTACCATAATAGAAGATTTAGGCGGCACCCTTGCTAGAGGTTTTTAATTTTTAACCTGCTTATGCGTCGAAGGGCCAGTAGTTTGGCTCGTTTTTATGTTTCTAAAATATTAGGCTTAAAGGACCTCACACGTGAAGAGATAATAGAGGCCCTCCAGACAGATAAGTCCCTCCTTCCTCAGATTATGCGGCAGGGTTCTAAGTTAACTAGCGCCTACCTATTCTGGAGAAATAAGGGGATAAGCCTCCAGGCACAAGCCCTCTTCTTAACGCCCAGTATACCGCCTGTATTTATGACACTTAATACGGCTGATATGCAACGGGAGGACCTGCATCGACACTTCCCGGGAAACTCGGCTGTGGCCGTAGAGAATGATCGTTCTCGGCGCTAATTTATATGGGGCATGATTCAGAACCATGCATATATCATCGCCACTACTTAGATATCCGGTTCCGGCTCTTTAAAGAGCACGTCCTGCGGCCACTCTTTAGTTATATAGACGAGTGCTACCGGTACGAGTGGCAGGCCCAAGGTTCTGGCCACTTATACTGCCTCTTTTAGATCCTATTTGCACCTCCCCTTAATATTACTATAGCCGAAGCGCGAGCCTAATTTGCCTAGTATTAGGGTGCGAACATGACGGCCTAGAACCCAGACCAGTTACGACCCCCTAACGCGCGCAACCCTGTCTCTCTTCACTGTAAGGACGTGACTAATACTGCTGATTAATTTGCTGTATTCTTGAACCGGGTTTAGGTGTATTTAACATATAGAGTACTGTGCTGCCTATAATCCAGAAAGGGGTCTAAGGCACCTTCTTGCCACTTCTTCTTTCTGAGGTCCCTCTTTCTGGATCCTGTAGTAACGTAAAAGATTAACTATACAGGCCGGCTGTTTTCTCCCTTACGAAACCAGGCGAATATGAACCAGTATACACCCCTTCTCACAATCGGATGGATGGCTAACACGGATATCCAACCCCCTATAAGCCTCCACATGGTTTATTATATATCAGAAAGTACATGTTAAAGCCAGAGAAATCATCCCTGTTATACACAGAGCTACAATCGCAGGTCATGCCCTATATTAACGATTGAGCGCCCCTTTTATTATTTGTTTCTAGGATACGTAATAAGCTTATCAGAGAACAGAATTAGTCGGCCTAGGAGGTCTCCCACATCCTCCACCAGATTCCGGTTTAAAATTCGTCGCGGGTAGTCGTCCACCTTGATTTAGATACCTTAGGCGTTTACATTACTGTTTTTAGCTCCAGCCCTTGCTACTGGCTCCCTGCTGCCTTTGAAAACGCCCCACTCCCTCTGGAGAGTTGTCAGAAAGACGATGGCACTACAGTATCACGGAGAGAATTCTACTGTATATATAAAAGATTATTTGTTTAGTTAATTTTTTTGGGACAGCAATCTTCCCAGGACTAAAATAGCTTTTATAATACTGCTGCCCAACAGACACCAGTATTGCTACCCAAGCATCGGGTGCAGGCTGTGCAGTGTGCAGTGCGGTGTATTAACCTGCAACTGCACAATCTGACAAGAACATCTGGAGCTTTGAGTCTACTCTGGTCAGCTTTTAACCCCCGCTGGAGAGCTTTTCCAGCGCCAAGTTGGCAACTCCCTGCTCTCCTCTCTATGCTTGTTCGCCAGAATATCAGGAGCGCAGCATAAAATGGATTCGTCGCCACCTTTGTTCATCAAAGATGAGCATGTCAAGGACCTGCCCGAGCCAGCCCTCGAGCTACTAGAGACATACGCCAACATTCCCGCCCAAGACGTCATCCCTCATGTCCTCACGCTTGTATGTTTCCTGGCCTTTCTGCATAGCAATAAAAAAACATCAGCCAAGAACCCAAGTTGACGTGAATGACTACCAGCGCAACGAAGCCTTTGTTTTGCACCCTTGGCCATGTATCGGCCGGCTGCGATTTTTGTGCCCTTCTCTTCCAACATATGCAGCGTATCCGCGCATTCTCACGAAACTAAAGTCTGACTCTTCAGCTGCGCTTTTAGATGTCGGATGTTGTTTTGGACAGGATCTGAGGAAATTAGTCCTTGATGGTGTTGATCCGTCGCAACTGGCTGCGCTGGACCTCGTGCCCGAGTTTTACGAGATGGGCAAGAGGCTCTTTCGCGACGGCGACAAGCTCCATATTGACTTTTACGGTCGCGACATCTTTGACAGCGGTGCCGACTGGGAGCCGCTGCGCCAGCGATTCGACATTATTCACATGACTAGTTTTTTGCACATCTGGAACTGGCGGGGGCAGGTTGGGGCGGCTCGGCGCATAGTTCAATTTGTCAAACCAAAGCCCGGGTCTCTGTTGGTTGGGAGTGGCCTTGGGAGTGTCGTTGGTGAAGAGCGTCCCGCCTTGCAGGGCATGGGTGTTCACTATCGCCAGAGTGAGGAGTCATTCGCGCGGTTGTGGAAAGAGGTTGGTGATGTTACTGGCACTAAATGGAAGGTCCAGAGTCGGTTCCATGGATTCCAGATTGGCCAACAGAATCAAGGACAAGGTGCTGAAGATGCCAACGTGGGATGGTTGACTTTTGAGGTGCACATGCTGTGAGATGATGAATAGTACCGCTTGTATGATATGTCCACAGACTGGTATATTGCCGTTTCAATACATGAACATCTTGTTGAGAGATATATATCTAGACTATATCGAAAACTGACATCGAAAACTGCTCCAAAGAACCCTGTAGTCCGTCAAGGTAATAAGACCTATATCATCTTATTCTTATTCTTGTTGTCCTCTCGCCTTTTTTTGGAGTTTTCTGCCGCCCTCCTCATAGCCTCTTCATTTTCACGCTGTCTTCTAGCCTCCTCACGTCTCCTCTTTGATTCCTCCGGTAGAATTTGCATCATGATTATGCCGCTGACTCTTCTAGACGGCCGGGTTAGTCTCCTTTTATTAATAGGATTGGGCTATCTTACGAGTCATTTTTTTGCAGGCCAGATCAGTATCTATGATTCCTGGCTGCAATCCATACACCATCAACGCAGCCACGAGTTCGCCAGCATTGCTTGGTGGCATCAAGACTGGTCCTGCATATTCGACTTGAGTTCTGACGGGGGTCGGTGCTGTGGTGGTGGGGTGTGGCTGTATTTGAAGACAGCAGTGCTTTTTGTGTTCAAGGCCGGTGATATGTCATCTCTACCTAGGTATTCATCCACTAATCGAGTCTGGTGGACTTGGCTATACATGACAAAAGTATAATAGCAACCTGTTATAGGCTTCAAGGTGGCAAAAAGTAAACATACAACACTGGGTATTCGCTGGTCGTCACCGACCCAACTACTAATCCAGCGCTCGCCAGGTTATCGTACGAGATCGGACGGGATTGTGAGTTCTACTGGCGGCTGTGGTCGTATGTGGTAAACTCCAGCGCTAAACTAGTACATATGCAGACAAGTCAGCCCATCTGGTAGTTACAATCTTTCTTCTAGGTTTCATAATCTCATTGCAGCAAAACAGTCGACCCCCGTCCCGTCTCTTCAGCCAGCTCTGCCGGCAACGACAACAACTCTTGTCTGGCCCTCTCGTCGTCAAAACCCTCTACATGCTCGAAATCAACCAGACGCGCGCCTGCCCCCTCGGAGGCGCGGTCAACGAGGAAGTTGTAGCGATTCACGTCGCCGTGAATCAAGCCTAGGCCGTGCAGCCGACGAACCAGGGCCTCACAGTCGGGCAAGTCGTCGGTGCAGGCGGGCTCGCCGTCCACCTTTTGCAGCAGGAGACCCATGATCCTGCCGTTCTCGGTCACATGGGCGATGAAGTCGGGTGCAATGGGAGGCTCCTCGGGATGTTGGCGGCGGTGACGCGCAATGACGGAGTATGCCCACGTCTCGCGCTCGATCCGAGGCACGTCCCATTCGAAGCAGGCAATCTTGACAATGGCGGGCGCGCCGTTGAACTCGACCTCGTGCACCCCTGAGCGGAAGCGCTTCCTCCTCCCCAGGCTCAAGACATCGACGCGTTGTTCGTGCCAGGCCGTCCGGATTTCGGGCAGCGGGTTCGTGGACACGGTTGGCACGAGAGAGCCATTTTCGTCCCGCGAGACGGTCATGGTGGTCCATGACGAGTCGGGAAGGGCTGGCAGCGCCGGGATGAGTAGATAGGGCCGGCACATGGTGTCGTCGTCGTATACGCCCGAGGGGATTGTGAGGTAGTGGACTCTGCGGCCGATCCGGAGACGATAGTGTCCGTCTTCATCGTCAATGAGCTGAGAGAGCACCTCCACGTCTGGCTTGGGCAGCGTTGGCATTGTGGTCTCTGGTAGTCGTTGATGTTATGTCGAGGTACTGTGGCAGGTGTAAGAGAGCCGGAGCGAGGTGGTTTGCGACAATTGATGTCGTTCCGGCCCCTGGGCGCTGGACTCGAGTCTGTGGCTTGGCCTCGTCGTTGCTGCAGATGCACGCGGCTAGGCTTAAGGCCTCGACCTCTAGACGCGGCTCAAAGTAGTACTTGAAGCCATACGGACATTGATACCAACCAGCCCTATGGAATGCGGAAAACCGGGCGGCTCCTGGGGCACGCTAGCGTGGGCGCTTAGAGCGGAGGCCCCTGAATTGATCCTCATGACAGCGGCATCAACCAATCAGATGCTCTAGGCCTGGGACTAGCGCCAACGACCAGACTTCACATGATCCGCTCTTGCTTGGTACATATGTATGTATCTAAAAGCGTTAATAGTCGTCGGCCAAAAGTCCTTACTGGGGAACCACGGTGATCCTTGGTACCCTGGCCAATTTATTATTGTTTGTTCGGACCATGACCGACAGTGCCACCTATAAGGGCGCTTAATGTAATAAATCCTTCTTCTCGTGTTGGTGCTGAGGCTGATATGCGCACGTACATAGACGTACATGTACAATATGTACTTGTGCACAAGGTACCAGCCTCCACAACATCTCCCCTTCAGTCGGTGCTATTCGGTTGGTTATGATTGTAGCTACCCGAAACTTGGTCGGTAATGTCATCACCCAAAGGCGCCTACGAGCCGCTTTGATCAGATTGCGTAACTGCGCCTGGTCCCGCAAGTCCACCCTCTCTTGAAGAGCTGGCAATGATGAAGATAAAAGACTGGGCTTGGGGCAGTCGCCTATGCTTGTCTCATCATACCATCCGACTATCCCTAGCAATTGTTTGAACTTGTACAGCCAGGTATGGCAATTGCATCCCCATCTGATAAGTGGTCGCTCTAACCATTTGCCAAAAGATTGAAGCCATCTCTTGCCAATACCTCACCACCTTTTCGATTACACGACCCATCTTTCATCTTTCCGCCCTTTATTCATCTAAATCATGTGCACTCAGTGGTGGTTTCAGTACCAGTGTGGATGCAAACAGAAGGGAGAATTCCTTCAATGCGACAGATTGTACGACAGTCAATCGAACCTGCAGTGCGCGCGGACGCTACAAGAGGACAAGGTCTCGCGCAACTATTGTCCTAAACACCTCCCAAAAGAAAACAAGGCCATGACAGAATATCGCGGACGGTTTGTCAGGAACTGAGGTTGTCAGCCAGGGAAGTAGGAGCACGAACGAGGCTGGAAGTTGCTTGGCCGAGTTTGTGTTGGAGGTGGTAGGCTAGGTCAGACGGAGCCTTTTCTTAGCATGTCGAGTTTCGTTATTGTTTCTAGCTTCATTCCATTCCTGCAGCCAACTCAGGAACCATCTGCCGTGCTCCGTAACAGTGTCTGACGTGATGCAAGAATGACTCTCGAGATCGGGCCCGCCTTTCGAGGCCAAGCAACACTCGCATCGGCTCAAGGCTCCCAGGTACCACAGCCACCAGCACTTCGCTAGGCAAGCGCAAAGAATCGTGTAGACGAAGGACGGTTTCGCAGCCCCGGCACCACAAACCTTGCTCGATCCTGCCCGACTTTGAGAGCGAGGGGAACGGAATAGAAGCCATGCCGAAGAACTTGTCAGGCGGTATATTGCCTTGACACGGCAGCAGCAGCGAGTCCTGTCCCGGGGGCACTTCTGGCTCGCTCTGAAAATACCGCCCTGTGGCGAGAAGCCCGGCAGACTTGCATGTCCTCGCCAAAGCCTGCGACAGTTTCTCCGCGGACCCGTGCAAGGTGAGCCCAAGAGCTCTCGCCAGCTTGGCGCTCACAAGGCGGCAATTTTCCGGCGCGACGTTGGGCGAGATGCCATACCGGCCAGGAATAACATGGAGGGTGGGCAACTGTTTAAGATGGCGCTCCCCGAGGCCAAAGTATCTCTTTGCCTCCCTGGGCAAAACCATCCTGAAGGACGGGTGGTAGCGGAGACATTCCCAGCAACACCTCTCGCCGGTTGGAAGGAACAGAAACGGGCCATATTCGGTGCAAGCCGCGCACCGTTGCGTTCGCAAGGCGCCGTGGAGTTTAGTAATGGAATGAAGGCCCAGCAGGCCTACCTTGGGCAGCGCCGCGAGAGCCTGCGGAGCAATTGCGACGAGGTCTCGATACGCGCGTTGCGATTGAACGAATGCGCTGGCTCGGCAGGAGACAGCCGCGAAATGCACATTCGATTGAATATCAAGCATCCCAAGGACCATCGACATGATTTCTGGCGGCAGACGATCCAGGGCGCCGAGCGACGAGACGCGGTCGGCCCGAACCCGGCGAGACGGGGCTGCAGCATTGGCATCGGGCATCTTGATCATTGCCCTGATGAGGTGGCTGGGACGATGGGACAAGCGAGATATAAGCTCTTCCGGCTCCAGGGAATGGCCCGACATTTTTCAAGATGCGAGTTGAGAGGCAATTTGACGCGGGAACAAGACGCGGCCAGCTGTTCATCCCAGCGCGTGCAGGCAAAGTCACGTGCCTTGATTCGCGCTCCGCTTAATTAAAAAGGCAGTCGCCGAGTTCTATCGACCGCGATAGCACCAGAGTCCATCGACAAGCTTGACGACGCCTTCAAAAAAGGCACCAATTCTCAGACAGATGCAGCGGCATATAAGCTCGACGCCTAAACATAGTTGCCCCTGCCCTTCTTCCCCATCATCACAGCCCCTTTAGTCACATCTCCCTGGTCCAGCACACTCATGCCCAATCTCTTCTCATACGCCTGTTTGCTCTTTGGCACCGCCGTCCGCAGCGTAAACCACCTCAAGTAGGGCAATGGATCCATGACCTCATCTATGCAATCAATGATCCACCCGCCCAGCCCGAGGCCTTGATACTCGGGAAGCACGTATACATCCGTCAGGTACGCGAATGTGACGTAGTCGGTAGCAAGGCGCGCGAATCCAATCTGTTGAAGCGAATCGGGGTGTACGGAATCCCCGTTCTGAGCGACCGTGTCGCCTTGTTGGCGAATCTTGTACAGCCCAAAGCAAAACGATGCATCGACCATAGTCTGGAGTACTTCGTCGGGCATGGCCGCTGCCCAGTACAGGAATTCTTGGGCAAACACTGCGTTGAGGGCCTTGACAGAGATGAGACTTTTGTCGGTTGATATCAGGAAGCCATCTTTGGTCCAATTCCGTGGCTCCGAGGGCAAAGACATGGTGAAATCCTTGTACAACGCTGGGCGGACTTGCTCTGGTGTGTAGATACGTAGTACTTGAACGCCAGGTTGATAGAAGATGCAGCGCGGCGCCACTTGTAGTAACGACAATCTATATTTGGGCGATTTCGGCCGTGTGACTGATACAGACCCACGCCGCGTCTCCGGCAGGGCGTGGCGTTTCATCTGGTGTCCGGAATGGCTGAGTCAACCAGACTTCACATGTAGACATGATTAATACAATTACACATGATGCTGCAGAACTGCGAGCGGAACAATACTAGCGTTGTGTAGTTGCCCATATAGTTGCAATGCTCCACGGTGCCGGCAGCCAGCGTCTCATAGACCCTCCGATCTCGCGCTCGCAGGTATCGTCAAAACACCAAAAATTGACCTCTTCTTTTTTCCAACAACGGTCGAAGCAATCTTATACCCTGATGCTGCCATCTCTCACATTTCGCCGTATATGGCACTTGCCACGCACAAAAGCCGCATGCATCAGCTCCAAATGCCTCACTCCGCCACGAGCATAAGAAAGGGCAACAACCCTGATATTTCCACGCGCAATACCACCAGACATCACGACCATCCCTGCAACAGTCCCTAGGTTCAAATATTTCTTTATACAGATCTGGCCACACCGTCACAAGAGTCACTTCTCGGCCACGCTCTACGGCACCCATGCCAGCGAATAAAAACCCACGCAGCATCCCGGAAATACAACACCATCCTCAGTTCTATGGGTAGCACAAACCAACAATTGGGCCAACAGCCGGCCATTCTAATCCGCAAAGCACAACTCTATCCAACATCCGGCCAGCAGTGCGCCACAACATGTTGTCATCTTCTCATCCCAAGACCACCCTCACACACCGCCGACTGAAATATTATAAACTCGCCATGCCCTCACATCTCTCTTCTTGTTCTCCTTCCCCCCTCCGTCTGTAGTTCGTACCCCAAACGGCCGTCTTGTCCCCCTCCCACAATGACACGAGGCCCCCGAGGCATCCAGGCCGCCCGCAAGCTGCGCCTCAACCAAAAGGAGCAGAACTGGGCCGACAAGCACTACCGCCACCGCGCGCTCGGGTCGCGCTTCCGCTCCTCGCCCTTTGGCGGCGCCTCCCACGCCAAGGGCATCGTGCTGGAAAAGGTGGGCGTCGAGGCGAAGCAGCCCAACTCGGCCATCAGGAAGTGCGTCCGGGTGCAGCTCATCAAGAACGGGAAGAAGGTGACTGCCTTTGGTGCGTTGGCCCCCCCTTCCCCCCGGGTCTGCCAGTGTCTTGTGAAGAAGGCTGACTGACGGCTTGGGTAGTGCCCAATGACGGGTGCCTCAATTATATCGACGAGAATGACGAGGTGCTCCTGGCGGGGTTTGGGCGCAAGGGCCGGGCGATAGGGGATATCCCGGGTGTGCGGTTTAAGGTTGTAAAGGTTTCGGGGGTGAGTTTGCTTTCGCTTTGGAGGGAGAAGAAGGAGAAGCCGCGTTCTTAGGCGGGCCGGATTATATGGCTTGGCTATTGCAAGTACACCGCCACGAGGCACAGCTTGGGATTGTTGGCTTGGTGTTCCTAGTGTGATGTGTGTTGTCGGGTTGATCAGTTGTACCATGTGCTAAGGACAGATGGTCATGGTGCCGGACACGCATACAGGTGCCCGATGTGAATCTGCGGTTTTTGTGGATGATGCGCAGACAGCATCTGTCAATGAGCAACCGTCAATGCCTTTACCCTGAGCCTGCCCATAAGCAGACGATCAAGGCAGGTTATGTAAAAGCACATGAGTTTTGATAACGTGCATCTACCCCGGGATTCCTTCCAACTATTAGTTCAAACCTCTATCGTGGTGGCAATGGCTCCCTATACGCAATATAAAGGGGCTTACTGCCAGTCATCGACGAGCCTTGGAGCAAAAGGGCCAGCAATAGAAACTTCCCCGATCCAGCTTGTAATATCTTTTTAGATCTTTTCTCACTACCGCCTGACAGGTAACTGCTTCGCAATTCGCACGTTCTTCTGTGCCAATCTCCCACGTATCCTCACAGGTTAGCAGATGGAGTGTCTTATGCGAAAAGCATAGATAAATTCCCGGAATATGCTTTGCACCGCACAAGGATGATTCCTGGAAGAAAACTGCTTCAGCATAATCTACTGCAGCTACACGCGGACCCGCAGCCGCATTCTCACGCGCTTCATCTCACCGTCACTACTATAAATTCCACTCCCATCTCGCCAGCTCATCAGCCCTATTCACTTGCAAACAAGCAATAAACACTTATTACGCACCTGCAACAATAAATCCAACTCGGGTCAGATATTCGTCCAGAAGAATGCTTCCATTCCCACCACCAGCACTCTACGTCCCAATGCCAACAAAAATCCCATTCCTCAGGCGAACGCAGTCAGTGCTCTCGGGGAACGGAGACGGTGTCGCAAAAATCGCCCATGAAAACCCAGTCCTCTTGTTCGGTACAACTTTCCCCAGGATTTGAACAAAGTCACGGCAATCTACTCTCATCATATTCACGGCCGCTTTTTTACAAGAGTTAAGTAAAGTCGAACCCAGCCAAGCGAGTTATTAAGTATATTTGAACCAACTACCCATTATCGTCGTACAAGCTAACATAAGATGTCCATTATCCCAGAATCTTGTGCAGCCGACAATCCCCCCTCCCCACCACCAAACCAAGCAGTGTCAACCAAACACCAACCGCTCAAGCAACTTCGTCTTTACGAGCTAGCGGGCCTCTGCGACGCCGGGACAAGGGCAGCGTGCGCCTGTCGGTGAATCTCGCGGGGAGGGCTGTTCTGCGCGGCGGGAATGGGCTCGAGCGCGCTGGGCGGGTTCGCCGTGTACTTGAGGTGGTCGCCGAGGATCTGGCCGCTGGACAGGATGCCCTCGATGCCGCTGCCCGGGGCCGGCAGGTGCTCCTGCACAGTGGCGAGGGGATTTCCCGCGGCACCGCCGGCAGTGGTGTTGGTAGAACCAGCAGAGCTAGCAGAGCCAGCGGCGCCGCCAGCTCCGCCGAGGAAGGTTCCGATGATGGGGATGTTGGACAGGAGGGACGTGAGGCCGTTGGCGTTTTGCGGCAGGGGCGCGGCGGCGGCGGAGAGGGCCAGCGTGGCGGCGACGAGAGCAGAGCCGGTGAATCTCATGTTGACTAGGTGTTTTTTTGAAAATATAAAACGATGGTGTTGCCGGAACAAGAGTTGTGAATTAAAGTATTGGGCCGAAGAGAATTATGCAGAGTGAACGTAGAGGCTTGCTCGGAGAGAACTAGGAGAGTAGGCAAAAGAGTGAAGTTGCTGTGAGGCCAAGAGACTAGAAGACTACGGACGGGGCGTAGAAACGCCTTTATACATGTCGAGCTGGTTGATTCTGGGAGGAGGGCACTGGCGGCCGCGGCATGGCGACATGTTGGCAGGGCCCGGCGGACTTGCGCACAGCCATGCTGGGTTTGCCATGCGCAATAACACTGGACGCGAGCAACCGGAACTTGGAACATTAGCGGCGGCTCTCTTCAGCGCAGGTGGGCGCGCAAAAGTTACGCTTTGAACACGACTTGGGCTGAAGCGGTGGCTGCTATACGGCGCACTGACGCGGGAGGTTGTCGAGCCGCATCGGGCAAGGCACATGGCCTCGGATCGAACTACATTTCTGGGCAGGCCAGATCGAAACTAGGTTATAATTTGTTTCAAGGGTTTCGTCCCCGATCCACATGGGAAACAAGACCGTTGGCCGAACTCTTGCATGGCCAGGATTGGACGAAGGTGGAGTCCAAAACTCCCAATTGAGTCGTTCCTGGCCGCGGCAAATTGTGGGACTCCGGCACTCTGTGGAGTTGCGAGCGACAAAGCGCCTTTATAAGTTCATGTTGTTGTACGTACCTAGTCTTGCACGGCATCGCCTACGAGGGCTCCTTATACCCTTTGCAGGCCCAGATATGGTCGTCTTTGGCCGTGCATACATGTAGGTCCGGATTCATGAGACATCAAAACGTGCCGTCTGGTCCGTCCCCTGCAAGTCGGAATCCGCATGTGGCAGGATCGGCGAAATCTCCGCTGCTGTCGCCATCACCTCTCAGCTTGATCTTCTCCACATCAAAAGCTTGTATAATGTCATACCAAGTTGGCCTCAGTCTGATCGTTTACCCTGGCAAATTCGTTGAATAAACGTACCAACAGCTCCGGGAAATATTAACCCGGCGCGATTCCACCCTGAACCTACGGCGACTAAGGCAAAGTATAAGCTCGCGTTATCCCGTCTCAAGTACTACCACAAGAGGTGCCTCACAATTCTTCTGCCAGAGCCAACAGCAAACAGAAGCCTTTTCCGGTGATGGTTGGCCTTTGTGTGACGTTGCACGCGACTGAAACACGGGCGCGCCGCTTTGATATTCGGGCATCTCCCAATACGTCGAGTACATGAATCTCCAAGTCGACGTAGAGGTGCACCTGATGCAAGATGAATGGTCGAATATTCAGGCAAAGCCAACACCAGCACCAAACAAAGAAGAATAAAAAAAAAAGGCAGGTCTGCGTAACACGAACAAAGAGGCGCGGGCAAGTGCTTCTGTGGGGCACCGCTATACCGGCCAGTCTCAGTGCAAGCGACGCATTTCGCGTGCAGAAATCCATTCCTAGAGCCAGCATTTCTGAGTCAGAATTTTTCCAATGACACGGCTCCGGGCGCTCTGTATGGCAGACGACGTTGCGGGGCCCCCGGCACAATGTCTCAGACGCGAGAAAGACGGGCAGCGACGTCAAAAAAGGCTTCCAGATGTCACGATGCGGCCGGGAAGTGGGTCATGCATCTCCGGCCCAGGCCCTGCCGGCCCCCGGGGAACACCGCACCGCTCCTTGGACCTCGTCTGCCAGGACCCGTGACGAGTTGCACGCAGGCAAAATGCCTCGTGTCACCAGTCTGCTGCCTTCTCTCCGCGTCGCTCTCGCCCAGGCCGCTCTTTACAGTGTCACGGCCTCTCGCGCTCCGTCCACGCCGCCCTCGAATGTCTCAGCCCTCGGTCCCGTCAGACTGGCCCGGCACGCCGCCCACCGACACGCCTGCTCCGTCCACCGACGCCTCCCGAACAAGCGGCTTGGCATCCGGCCTATGTATCGCGCTTGCCATCATCATAGGACTCACGGTATACGTGCTGAGGGGGAGGATATTCCCCCTTGGCGCCCACACGGCCGCTACGCCGCCACGCCGCTCCGACACGCTGGCCCCCGAGGCTCTGGCTCTGTTGCCAACGCATACTCATGACTACGACGCCTGCCTCGCGGAAACGTCGTCCGTGGGCGGCGCCGCGCCGGGCCCAAACGACAGGTGCTGCTCCGTCTGCACCGAGCCGTTCATGCACGGCGTCCAGCTGCGCAGGCTTCCCTGCGGGCACCAGTTTGACAGGGCGTGCATCGACCCGTGGCTGCTCGGGCGCTCGGCCACTTGTCCGCTCTGGTAACGTGGACCGCGTGCGTACCAGTGTCTCGCTGTTTCTAACGCCAGCTAGCCGGCAGAAAGTCACGACGCGGCCGCTGAAGATGCACGAAAAACTGCCCATGTCGCCTCGCCCGACCTTCTTCCCGCCCAGCAGGTGGAGGAGGGACGGAAACAGCTCAAGAGTCGAGTGGACATTCTCCGTGGGCGAGACGCCGCGTCTAACGGCGCTGCAGGGTCCTCCGGGGAGCTCTGTGGTAGCAAATACACGCAGAGTCTGGCATGCCGGTCAAACTACGCGGGGGCAAAGACGGGCTCCTGGTTTCCGCCCCTCTGGTGCTCTGACGACGGTGTCCGAATCATCGACAGCGGAGACGCGGGAAATGGTGGAAAATCGAGGATGAAGGCACGCTGCTCCAGGTGTAATTAGCTTCACTGTATACAGGCTTTTCCCATCGCCTCATTATATCCGCTGATGGAGAACCCATCAAAAAATACGCCTCGTGTCCCTGCATCGTCGTCTCGGAAAAGGCGGCAAAACGTGTTTGACCACATCAGTAGCCTAACCATGACACTCTACACCAGAATATATTCCAGTAAAGTAATAAGTATATAGCATATAGTATACTTCCCAGTGGGCAATATTCTGCCATGTACTCATAAACTATATCCCCACCATTTCGTCCTGGGTACACGAACCCCCATGAAGAACAGTGTACTTGAAACCGTCCCTGTCCCCAATAGGCAAAGACACGGCCACAGTGTCCGCAGCACCCGGATACCTCGTGAGGTGGCCATGCGCCGTCCGGTCCGCCGTGTCCGCCGCCACAATCAGCCCGTACTTGCCGCCCTGGATCCACGCCTCGTCCCTCCCCCTGTACAGACTGATGTGCACCAACCCGCTCATGAAGAGGACATATCTACGCGTTACCGGCACGGTTAGTCGGGCGCGGCGGAAAGGGCGCGGCCGTCGAGCACATACTGGAAAGCGGGCGCGTGGTGGAACCCGCCGTCGAAGCGGGCGGGAATCACGCTGTACGTCGCGTTCGCCAACTCGCCCAGGGATAGCTGCAGGGAGCCCGTGATGCCCGACTCGGTGGATTGCTGGAACGGGTTGGCGAGCTGCCAGCATTCGAGGGTCGATTCGCCGTCCGCGGCGGCGAGAGCCGTGAGGTTGAGGTAAGGCGTTGTGAGGGTGCTGAGCTGCGCGGCGGCAGGGAGCGCCAGGCTCGCTAGGGTTAGGGGAGAGGGCAGCATGTTTATGTGCAGTCTGGTTGGGGGAGGTTGAGGAATATCGTCTGCTGGGGAAACGCGGGTGAAGATGTTGGTTTTTAGGCAGCGTTCAGCGGTGGCCGATGCTGCCGGAGACTCGACATGGACAGACTAGGTTCCGCAAGGCCAAGTAGAAAGATGGGGTCTGGTTGTATAATGTCAATACATCCGCATTTCCGCAGTTACCGAGCTTGCCGGCGTTGGAGGGCTGGCTGATGATTACATGTATGTCTGCACGTGGTGTTACACTTGCAGTTCTTGCACGCGGTGACTTGTTCACAGTGCTGGGGTTGGTGCAAGGCATTCGATAGTATCGACGATATCAAGGGTCAAGCAGCATCGAATTCATGGCAAGCTAATGAGCGGCCCCGCCAAACATAAAAGAAGCCTCACCTAATGTATCTAGTTCTGGCGCAATTCCACTATTCAATCTGGTCCATGGCTGCTAACGCGTTGTAAGTTGCCCCGGTTTTCCGACTTGCACCGTCTACTCCGTACCGTCTGCCGAATCCCAACTTGGCCCTCAACAGTGCCACAAGGAAATACTTCCCGCCATTTACAGAAAGCCAATTATAATTACATGGCGTAAGAAGAATCTCCCAGGAACATAAGAAAGAAATTCGGCACTTCAAGTCGACGACGGTTCTGCCAATACCAGACTAGCGCCACCACGCTCGGGAGCCTGAACCGGCTTCTCCACCGCCAACAGGCCAGGAGAAGAAATACACGGAGCAGTCTCGATCTGTAAAGACCAAATATCGTAGCTCGTTTTGCAAGGAGACTCAGTAACCAGGCGCACAATGCTGAAAGAAAGTCGGCAAGTCGCAGCATTGGGTCCCCACCTCGCCGCAGCAAAACTTACGCGCCCCCAATTGGTAGTCTATATATACTTTCATAACGACCGACTGACACCGCAGGATTCTTAGCGTGAATAGTGTAGCGGTTAGCATGCATGCTTCCCAAGCATGCGACCCGGGTTCGAGTCCCGGTTCACGCAGTTACATTTTTTGTGTTTTTGTACCACAACCACCTGTATTTATTATTATTATTTTTTTCTTCTTCAATCTTTCCCAACATCGTGCCAGCACTGCATCAAGTACAGCCCGATCGTACAAACACCGTGTGCTCAGTCGTACCTAAACTACAGAACTGCATCTCAGCGGAGGAAACGCCGTACAAACACACATGGCTCTTTTTTTTTTTCTTTTTTTTTTCGCTGATGATTTTGCCCCGGGGCTCTAAAAATACAACACTTGATTCCTTTTACTTAATAGCCTCCCGGCCAAGTCCGAATGCACCAGAAACGGGACACGGCTCCAATTATCGTCACGGCTCACGAGACACATGGACACTGCATCCGAGCTAAGGCGGTGCCGTCACAGCAGCAGAATGAAAAATTGGATAGTACTAACTGATAGCAGACATTATCAAATCTTTTCGGAATCATTCGGGCATGCTGCATCATTTTTCGGGGTGGCCTTCGGGGTGGCCTTCGGGTTCGATCCACGGGGTCCTGTATGACCTGGACATGTCACTCCGAGTCGCGTGTGACGCAAGTCAATAGGCATGTCAAGTATCACCAAATGGCAACAGTTATAAAAATAATACATATCCAATGATAAATTGCGCCGTGGTCCCAATTCTCCGTCCAACAAACTCCAAGCCATAAGAGTACCGTCTGCAAACAATGGCGACTGCCATCACATGCAAGAAAGTAGATGTTGGTGCCAACCTCGCAGGGGCACAACACAAGATGTAAGCTTCCCCAGACAAACATACACCCAAGACCCTCTACATAAACACTCACAATGGCAGAAATGGAAAAGCAACGACAGTATCGAGCGCGAATCCCAGCCAAAATGGCACCACACGTAAACCCTCCCGCAGTGCGTCCAAACAACAGCCTCACCACCACATCCCCAAGTGCTAACATCAAAAAGAAGCATACTACCTACCAAACGACATCGTACGCCCACCCAAGCCCCCCAACTCCATGAAACAAAGCAGCAAGCTAACACCCGCGGCCAGCCCGAGCAAAATCGTCTCGGTGCGTCCCCCCAAATCGTCTCGGGGGTCCCCCCCCCCCCCATCAACACCCTCAACAAACCCAACTAAACCTCACAGACCTCCAACACCAAATGTGCAAACTCCTCCTCAACGGCAGACTCGGCCTCGCCCCCGTCCAATCCCCCAAACACGTCCTCGACGTCGCCACAGGCACAGGCATATGGGCCCTCGAATACGGTTCTACTCCCCCAACCCCCCCCCCCCCTCTCTTCCCCCCCCCCCCCCCCCCCCCCCTTCTCTCTCTCCCAAAAACCTCACTGACAAACCTCCCCTTCAAGCCAAAAACAACCCCCAAGCCCACGTCATCGGCACCGACCTCTTCACCATGCAGCCAGCCACCGCCGCCCCCAACGTCTCCTTCATCCGGCAAGACGTCGAGAAGGAAGAGTGGAAGTACCCCCATCCCCTGGACTACATCCACCTCCGCTACATAGTAAGCTGCTTCGACGACGCGCAGTCCGTCCTGCGAAAAGCCCACGCCGCCCTCCGCCCAGGCGGACACATCGAGATATTCGACATTGTCCTGCGCCCCCGCTACGGCGGCGACAAGCGCGCCCGCGCCCTCGACAACTGGTGCGCCGCCGTGTGCGCCGCCGCCGCCCGCGAGGGCAGGGACATGCAAAAGGCCGAAAAGTACAAGCAGTGGCTGGAGGAGATTGGCTTCGTCGACGTGGTCGACGTCGAGCTCATGGTCCCCGGCAACGCGTGGCCCGAGGACGACAGGATGAGGGAGATTGGCAGGCACCTCGTGCAAGTGCAGCCGGGGCCGCTGCTGAGCCTCGGGTCGTATTTTGGACCAAGGGACCTGTCGGGCGTGTTGGACGGCCTTGCTCCCGACATGCTGAGGGACATGGAGGATGAGAGCATCCGCCTGTGCTGGCCCATGTGAGTGATTTCAAATTTCCCCCGTGCCTTGCTGGCAAGTTACTCTGGGCTGCTTCTGTTACTAAATTGTTCGGCTTTTAGACACGTTGTGTATGGACGAAAGGCGCTCCTAGATGAATCCGCGTAAATGCTCGGTCTTGCATGTCGTTCGCTGAATGGGATGAAAACACGGGCAGATGACAGGGCACCGAAAGACATGGCCTAGCAACCAGGTTTTCTCAGCTATACATTATTTTTTTTATCATTAGCAGTAGCCGCCCGTTTACGCCATCCCTACCATATAATTAAAGCTGCTGACATGGCATGTGCCCAAATATGTGACTTGGTTTCTATGCGTGACATTATAGCTCCACCACTTCGTATCCATGCTGCGCTTCTTGTACAAAATTCATCACGGCCGCGCCCATCTAATGAAGCCATGCGCTGCCAGAGGACCGTCTCCCTCTCTCATACAGCCATTTGCTGTTGAGCCCTACACTTGTGCGCTTGCCTCCAGAGGGGCTGGGAGAGCCTGGATCCGAAAACAAGTTTGCCGACGTACTCTGAGCAAAGGGGCTGCCTGATCCGAATGATGATCGTCGACCATTTCCTAGCCCACTAATACTCTTTTGAAAGACCGGGCTACCCACTGGGGAGTATTGTGAACCAGAAGCCCCAAAGGAGCCCTGAATAAGCGGACTGCCTCGTCCGGACAGCGGTGAGCTAGCATAGCTGCCCCTGCTTCCGACAGATCCAGCAATCGAAGGCGTCCTCGAGTACCGTGGAGGCGTACTGAACTTGGCATCTGGAGTCGGCGGGGCGGAAGTTGGCGGAAGACCCAGCAGCTTTCGTTGGGCACCGGTCAAAGGGATGTCGGAGAGGTCGTCCTTGGCGCGGACAAGTGGTAGACAGGCGAGGCATATTTGAATGAATGGGATGATTTGAAACACGAACCACGCCCAACTCAAGTACGTTCGGAATGTGCTGGAGACACTGCGACGGTGGTTAGCTTGTGATGCTGCCAATGGTGGGCACACGGCTTCTTACATTTGGGGGTTGATCTTCATTTTGGCAAGCAGTCGAAGGGACCACAGGACTAATAAGGCAACTATATTGTAGGCTATTTGCCGAATATTTTTCTCGGAGAAATTCGTCGCACTCTGCCTTCGGGTGATTTCATTTAATCGCGGATGCCGCCATGTGCCAGGACTGTCAACAGCGGGAGCTGCCTTGGTGGGCGTCGACTGGACAGGAGTCGACATGCTGGCCGGGAGTGCTTTATTCTAGAGGGTTATGGTCCAATTCCTAGTATTGAGGGTCGGGGTACTCTTGGAAAGGAGAGCTCTAGGAAGTTGATCTGGTCAGCGCGGCCTACGGTTGGCAGCAAAAGCTTTGCCCGACTTACCGTGTATCTAACGCGGCGTCGTAAGGAAAAAATTGGTGAGATAAATGTTCCGATCGCTCGTAAATAGTCGTTTGCTGCTGGTTAGTAGATGCACTGGTCGTGGGCACGATGGCCGGTGAGCTTCTGCTCCGAGTCGTCGAGGCTGTGATATTTGTTGATGTTGATCGAGGCAGGCGACAAAAAGCGACAGCAACCAGTCAAGTCAGGCGGCCGAGTGGATGCAGGGGTCAAGTGGCGCACGGGCCAAGTCAAGCGTGCGACATGTCGTGGGCCGTGACTTCCAAGAATGGTGGTGACTTGGAGACTTTGTCCTGGGACTTGGCTGCGCAACAAACGTGGATCGACTTTTCTCAAGCTCAATGCAAGCTGATTCTCGCTGACCACCACTTGCATAAACCCGACATAATCGACCCCCATCTAATTCTCGCGTCGCCATCGAGAATCCATCAAAGAAGCGCATTTTACTCTCTCATTCCATAGTCCAACCGTGCCATGGTGATGATGCGCCTTTGATTCGCATCGCAACCCGCGACACTTCCAGCTCAGTACCCGCGATCCTAGCCCTTTTCTCGTCCACCCCCCGTGAAGCCTCCCACCATCAATATGGCCGCCTCACCCAGTTCGGACGCGGCCACGTCCGACATCGAAGCCCCAAGCTCTCCTGCTGCTCAGGAAGCCAAGTCATTCATCTCACGCGCTGCGAGCGACGATGAGGATACGCAGATGGCCGATGAACCCACCGAGATCCAGGAGAAGCCTGCCCGTGGCAGAGGCAGGGCTTCAACAAAGGGTGGCGATGCGCCCCATCAGATTGGCAAAATCCGACATCTGAAAAAGGAAGATGGTGAGCCGCTCTGGCGTGAAGATATTCAGTACGACTTCCTCAAGGCCGTTTTCGACAACGAGCAAAAGGTTTTTACCAACTCGTACGATCGCGACATGGACAAGCAATGTTTTGCCGATCTCTACATCGATACCATGTCGCGAAGTAGCAAAACTAGCAAAGTCTTAAGAGACAAACTCCTCAGTGACCGAGATGCAGCCAAGGGCATGGCCATGGTCTGCCTTCTGGTCAACGTTGGCCGCATGAATACCACGCTCAATTGTACGTACAACATCCCCCATCCACACATACCACCAACACATCATTTTTGAAGCATCCAACTAACCGAGCCAAACTTTTAGTCTTTCCCGAAATGAGAGCCCAGCTTCGAACATACCACGCGATCCCGTCGTTACAAGCGCACCAAGATGCACACGCGTACAAGCAACTGCAAGACGCCCCCCGTCTCAAGTCTATCTTAAAGGGCGGTGCTGAGGACAGGGAAGAACCCAATTCGTTGGAGAAGATCAAGAAGGTCCAAGTACCTCGAACCAACCCTGTTAATCTCATTTTTTCCATGTGCCATTCGGCTCAGAAGGTTGCCGAATTGCATTTCCCCAATCACCAAGAATTCCACGACCTTATTATGAAGACACAGTATAGCAGCAAGTCCCGCGCTTCGGCCTTCTTGTGGCTCATGTGGTTTTACCTTGAGTCTGATTTCACCGAGGAGGGCTGTGAGGAAAATCCGTTTGGTGCTGGTGTCGACTACGGCCTAGATGTGGCAAACCAGGGTGTTCCAGAGCTCGTTGAGATGCCGGAGGATGAGCGAGCCAAGGAAAACGTAGATACCCCCGAGGAACTCGTTTTTGGGCGCGATAAACAAAAGACGCGAGCCAAGATTCTCGAGATGGACCAAGCCTATCTGAATGAAAGGGAGACAAAACGCGGAAAACGGGCGACTTTGAATGAGGAAGGTCCTGCTATCCTTCCACGCATCCGTCCTTCTAAACATGATTCGGACCGAGACAGCACAAGATCTACGCCTCCACCCCGACACATGGGAAGAGGTGGTCGACGAGGGTTGGGGCTCAAGTACCAGATCTTTGAAGGGTCATCCCCAGCTCGTCACGGATCGGAAGGTGTTGGGTCGAGGAAACCTCGGCCCCCAACAGCGCATCAGCTTGCTGTGGAAAGAAACCGCAATGAACGTGTTGAGTACATTCTAGACCGAGGGATTCGAAAACACCATCACAAGAGCCGCAAGGCTCGACGGCAGGATGGAGCCATATATAGAGCATACAGGCGGACCCAGGCCCAAGAAGACCCGTTCCAGGACAGCGACGGCGAGGACGCAATACCACGCAACATTTCCAGCAAAGACAAGACTGCCGTGTTCCGCGAGAGAGGTCTAGGCGGGCTTGCTCTTGTCACTGCCGAGGCAGATGACTATGGCGAAGAAGTCAGTGCCTATGCGGCCGCCCTGAGAAGAGCTTCGCGACGTCTTCGTCGGTGGGTAGGACACGAAACCGAGCTGGGCATTATCGCGCCCATCAAGAACCAGAAAGCATCAGTGAAGGCCAGCGGCGACAAGGGCGGGGATGACAATGAGTTGAATGACTCCCCCACGAAGAATGGCGACGCAAATGGAGATCTTACTATGGGTGACGCAGATATTGACGACCAGACTGCCTTGTTAGATGATGGGGATGACGATGTAGATGACCCAGACAAGACCGAAGTCATGGGCGATTCTGACGTGGAGTAACTTGTGGGCTTATTTCAGCGCACGTCACGAAGCAGATCATGTATACCTAGGTTATTTTCTGACTTTTCTACGGATGCCATCAGATGGGAGTTGAAGGAAGTAACAGGGATAGTGTATTACAAAGGATAGTTCGGGTATATGATTTTCTTAGTTGGAATGGGGACTTCCTCCACGGGGGAGTGGCGGCGACAATGATGATAATTCCAAAAGCTTCACCAAGAAATAATTTGTGATTTGCAATTTGTGCATTCGATTCTTTTCATTATCTTCTTCTATTCTAACCCAGGTCCAGAGTATTCCGCTTCGGCACCCGCGGACATTACGGACGCCGGTCCCCTCCCACTGCTCATCAGCCTCCGTCTCACACAAGTTGGTGATAATCGACCCAGCCGGAAGCTTACCTCTCCGAGACCACGAGCGGTGTGGGGCGGCAAAACTGCCCCCAAGTTCCTCGAGTTGCATCCAACACGCATCTCGCTCTCACTATTTATATACAGCCCGCCCGGCCGTGTGTAGCCCAATTATTCAATCACAATTAGTCACTCATTTTTGTTTCCCACTGTCCCTTTTTTTGCCTTGCAGAAAATGCCCAAATCAAAGCCCTCTCAGAGGGGCGCCAGTTCCCCCATCGGCCAATTACTCGGCATCCTGGGCGTGCTAACCGCCCTCCTAGCATCAGTGGTGTACCTCGCGGAGCGGAACCTGGACAAGTTCTACATCTTTGACCTGGACGAGCTACACGACGTGTCCAAGAGGGGCCTTGCCGAGCATGGCAACGACACGCGCGCCGTGGTCAAGTACATCGTCGACGACCTGCACAAGACGCACGGCGCGCACATCAACCTCCAGGAGGACTGGGTGTTTAACAACGCCGGCGGTGCCATGGGCGCCATGTACATCCTCCACGCTAGTGAGTACACCTGCGTGCGGACCGAGTGCGAAGATGGCCCAGGCTGACCAACGACAAGGCATTACGGAATATCTCATTATTTTTGGTACCGCGTCTTTCTCATCCAGGGGAAGGGGGGGGGCGCAGGGTGCAGGCTAACAATTGTGGTTTTAGGAACGGCGATTGGCACCGAGGGCCACACGGGGCGGCACACCGCAGACGACTACTTCCACATCTTGACGGGCGAGGAGTGGGCGTACGTGCCGGGCGAGTATGAGCCCGAGGTGTATCCCCCTGGCAGCGTGCACCACTTGCGTCGCGGAGAGGTCAAGCAGTACCGGATGCCGGACAAGTGCTTTGCGCTCGAGTACGCGCGGGGATGGATCCCGCCCATGCTCTTTTTCGGCTTTGCGGACGGCTTGTTCAGCACCCTTGACTATCCGACTTTGTGGAAGACGACGCATTTGACGGCCAAGCAGATGGTTGGGAACTTGCTCAGGGGGAAATTCTAGGCACGGCGCGCGTGTGTGTGGATTTGGCTGGTCAATAATTGGGGGACTTGTCGATGGAATCTGCCTTGGTCACCTGGCATGATGTATCATATGGGAAAATGTCTGGAGTATGTGAATTGGGGGGAGTTGGGGTAGGAAGCTAGCTGGCGCTTGTACTTTGGGTGCGAACCGCCATTGCGGTTGTGCGTCACTAGATGCAACGTAGTAATTTTATAATTAGACGGACAGTATGGGATCGGGTGTATAGTAAACGGGCCGAGGGGGGGGTTATAGTTCCAGCAACACGCTGCCCAAGTTGAAAGAAGCTTTGCATTTTGTCATGTTTCGAGGGCGTGAGCGCGCCCAGCAAAAAGGGTGAGCCCGCCGAGCGATTCACATCAAGATAGCTCGGAAACACCAAGCCTCGCAGATCTTGGTGCCAAGGGAACTATAAGTGAATATGAACGACATTTCCACTTGGGTAACCCGCCGTGTTGAGGAGGTTTCCCGGTCGTTCCAAACGAAACTTCTATCAGAGTCTTGGCTGCAGGGTAGTATGAATTTGCGGCGGTCTTGCCGAGGAAGACAAGCATGGAACCTGAACAGCCACAGGGTAGTAGAAATAGAACCAGAACATCTTGGCCCGCAGGTAGTAGTGTGATTGATTAGGAGCAATGGGGCAGGTGGAAATGTATGCCATGGCGCATAGCGTTAATAGGCGTTTGTGGCGTTTCGACAACCGCTCACTCAATCTTGTGGTTTGAAGGGGTTGCAGAATATTGATACTCTACCTACAATGCTCTACATACTACAACTCAGGGGAGAAGGGGACATGGAGGCTACCAGACTTTCTTCTTCACGCGTAACCCTCCAAAATGAGCAATGCTCCTTCCCGCCAGTCTGTCCATGAGGCATCGTACAGTACATGCACTACGAGATGCAAGCTGCCAAGGTGCCAAGCCGCACCAATCAGCAACACCAATTAAAAGCACTCACCCCGCTCCTCGTACCAAGTTTGTTTGGCCGCTGCGATTCATGGATGGCGGCATCTCCCATGGACAAATTCCGGCATCATGGCAAGAATGCGGTGCGAGGGGGGCTGGTGGCCACGTCTTGATCCGTGCAAGCGGAACCCCAGACGCCTTCCAGGTGCCGAAGACGAGCAAAACAGCCGACCACCTGTCACCGGACACCATCAAGCAAGCTGACGACTTGTGCAATATCGAGCTTCCCTCTTGGGACAGTGGCTGCATACGATTGGGACCAGAAATAACTCTGCCCAGCAACTTTATCCCAACAGCGAGATTAACTACAGCACTAGGCCGGCAATCCTTGCCCATGGCCCCAGATTTCGCCCGGATGGTCGCATGTCTGCCTCCCAGATCAACGCGCCAAGGTCTTGGTCCCAAGCATTTTCGTCAAGTCGAGTTTCGTCTTCGGAATTGCAACCACGGGGCTTGCCGGGGAACCATCGTTCTGCAGGAGGTCTTATCGCGAGCCATCTTCTCTTGTTCAAATCATGGCCGACATTGCTGTAGGGCTCTCCCACGCCGCGCCTCCTGACCTCTTCCTTTGCCAAGACGAAGCATCCCCGCCGGTGCCCAGATAGAGATATCTCAGAGGGCCATGTGGGTGTGTAAAGCCAAGTGCTTCTCTCCTTCTCCAATCCCGTCGTCGCGTTTTCGAAAGAAGCCCTCGAGTCCTTCCCCAGGCACGCCCACCGGCCATTCCTGTGCAATATGCCCGCCAACATGGGCTCCTGGCCAAGCCTCCAGGAAGGCCATGCTGTATCTTCTGGCTCCTTTCATTCCAAAATGCCATCTATAAGACGGGGGTCGGAGCCCTACTTCGCCAAGGGACGCAAAAACGTCCCATCTCGTCTTCCTCCTTCCCCGTACAGTTGCTGTCCGCCACGTTGAGCCACCGCAGGCCATTTTGTGTTGCTTGCTACTTGGGGAAACAACTGGACTCACAGCACGCGTCATTATGCCCACTGGTGATAATCTGGCCGAGCCGGTGGTGGGAGCCCAGCTTCGCGCCGAAGCCACAGATGAGAAGCGGGCGTCCCTCCAGGCCGTTCAGAAACACGAAGCTGCTGGCCAGAATAGCGTCGTCGCCCTGGGCGATACACAGGAACTCGATGAGACGTCCGTCCTACCGACGACCGAGGAGCTGGCCCTTCTGCGTCGTGTACCCAATCATATTCCACTGAAGCTCTTTACAATCGCCTTTATTGAGCTCTGCGAGCGCTTCTCGTACTATGGATCCACGGTCGTGTGTGAGTATATACACCACGGGGGAAACCCGTCCTATGCCGCCATTTGGTATCCCAGAAACAAAATACTAAGAAATCGCCGTGACCAAAAGTCACCAACTTCATCCAGCAACCTCTTCCCCAAGGCTCGACAACAGGCGCCGACCCAACGCAGCCCGGCGCCCTGGGGATGGGTCAGCGCGCCTCGACAGGCATCACCATCTTCAACCAGTTCTGGCAATACTTCATGCCTCTGTTCGGCGCGTGGGTGGCCGACGCCAAATGGGGGCGGTACAAGACCATCAGCGCGGCCCTGGGAGTCAACCTCTTCGGCCACGTCATCCTCATTCTGTCGGCGATCCCGCCCATCATCGTCCGCCAGGGCGCCTCGCTGGGTTGCCTGATCACGGCCATCATCATCATCGGCTTTGGCACGGGTGGCTTCAAGCCCAACATCAGCTGCCTGATCGTGGAGCAGCTGGGCGAGCAGCGCATGTTTGTGCGGACCCTCAAGAGCGGCGAGCGCGTCATCGTCGACCCGGCCGTCACCACGGAGCGCATCTACAACTGGTTCTACTTCTTCATCAACGTCGGCGCCCTGGTCGGGCAGCTGACCATGGTGTACGCCGAGATGCACGTCGGCTTCTACCTGTCATACACGCTCCCAACCATCATGCTGGGCTTCTGCCCGCTCGTCATGTGGTGGGGGCGCCGGCGATATCTCCGTCGCGAGCCCGCCGGGTCGGTGCTCGTCCCGGCGCTGCGGACCTTTATGCTCGCCCAGCGCGGCCGCTGGTCCATCAACCCGTTCCAGACGCATCGCAACCTCCACGACGGCACCTTCTGGGACTCGGTCAAGCCCTCGCGCTTCTCGCCCGACACCCGCCCGGCCTGGATGACCTTTGACGACGCCTGGGTCGACGAGCTGCGACGCGGATTTGCCGCCTGCGCCGTCTTCTGCTGGTATCCCATCTTCTGGCTGTGCTACAACCAAAGCATGTCCCTCCCTCATCACCCTCTAAACCCCTCTCCTTTCTTTTCTTTCTTTTCTCTTCTCCTCACTAACCATTGACGCACAGTCAACAACAACCTCATCTCGCAGGCTGCTGTCCTCCAGCGCAACGGCATCCCCAACGACGTACTTTCCAACCTCAACCCCTTCGCGCTCCTCATCTTCATCCCCCTCAACGACTTCTTCATCTACCCGGCCCTGCGCAAAGCCGGCATCCGCTTCACCCCTATTCGCAAAATCACCGCCGGCTTCTTCGTCGGCTGCGCAGCCATGGTCTGGGCCGCCGTCGTCCAACACTACATCTACCAGACATCCGTGTGCGGCAGCTACGCGTCGGGCACCACCCTCGACGACGCCGGCGAGACGGTCAAGTGCCCCGCCGTCGAGATCAACGTCTGGGCCCAGACGGGCTCCTACGTGCTCATCGCCCTCGCCGAGGTCTTTGCCTCCATCACCTCCCTCGAGTACGCCTACTCCAAGGCCCCCAAGAACATGCGCTCCATGGTCCAGGCCGTCGCCCTGTTCATGACCTCGTTTGCCGCCGCCATCGGCCAGGCCTTTGTCAGCCTCGCGTCCGATCCGTTGCTCGTCTGGAACTACGCTATTGTGGCCATCCTGGCCTTTGTCGCCGGCACCTGTTTCTATTTCCAGTTTCGGAACTTGGATGTCCACGAGGACGAGCTGAATGAGTTGCCCGAGGGGCAGGTGGGCAAGGTTGACGCCGAGGCACCTTTTGCGTTCAAGGATGAGAAGAGTTAGTCTTTGTGTCAATGGGAAGGTGTCGTGTACATAGTTTACTGGGCATGCGTGAATGTTGTCGTCGTCGGCGGCGGCGGCGGCGGTTCGACTTAACTGACGCAATTTGGATTAATGGGGCAGACTCGACCACTATTGCGGATAAGACTCGTTCTCGCACCACCTATAATATAAGCCTGCGCCAAAACTGAATGGTTCCAACGAGTATTGCAGCATCGCGATGCGGTCAGCAAAAGCACCTGTAGGTTCAGTCACGTCAGTCATAAACTGCATAGTACAATGTTTATTCCTCGGATATGCAACATGCGCCAAAGCTACTGTAGCACAACGCCCAACATATACAATGCTCGATACTCCAGTTCAATAAATCCCCGCAATCCTCGGTACGTAGATTCCATGTCCGCCGTGACCAGTGCATAATTTTTTTTGTTCTTCTTCAACCCTGGATGAAAATGGCGCTCTTTCGTAATCGTCTGCTTTCCCATGGCTTCATTCAAGGCATCCTGTACTTTTTTATCCTACTCTGGGGAATGTCCATATCACCGTTTTAACCCTCAAAATCAATACCCCCAACGCCCAGAAAGCCTCGTAGATTATGTGTCATGAAAATAGGGGGGCGTGTCGTAACATGCGAAACGTGTGGCTGGCTTCAAATCCGTACTCGATCCACTACATGGCGTTGTTGTTTGTGTAAATATAGCAGTTGACACTATGCCAGCCATTGTTCTTCGTCTCGCTTCAAGCCCCGCATAACAAGTCCGTCGTCTTCATCTGAATCGTCATCCTCATTCTCGTCATGAAGCCTCAGTTGTTCCACAGACGTTGTTGTAGCATTGAGCTTATCGTCGGCGGCAGATCTCTGTTCTAGTTCGTCCTCGTCCAGCATCCATGTAAGCCCGTTGGCCTCCTCTTCGAGAGGGAACATTTCTCGGGCATATTCCTCCAGTCCCCGAGGGCCTTCCCAGAGCTCAAGGGCTTCGGTAGGGCAGCTCACCTCGAGCTTCATGTCCCCAAAGTAAGGTGGCTGTCTTTTGGGGTCCGTCTCGCTAAGCTTGAAAAGCTTCTCAAGTGCCTCCAGTTGTTCTCGGTAGCCAGTGGGAATTTGGACCTTGACCTCAATGGGGCCACGGACGTAGTGTACGGGACGGCCAACGCCTCTTGCAAACAGTCTGCAGGCTTCTTTGGGCGACAGATATTCATAAGCGAGAGCAATCCGCTCACCCTTCCATTTCGAAACGCCGTCTTTGAATAACTGTACAATTGCCGGCCCGACGTCGTGTTCCGCGTCCAGCCAAGGAAGCTTGGCATCCTCGTGAAACGGTGCCTGCCATATGAAAGACCCATCTTCTTGCAGCTCCATGCAAAACAATGGATATGGGCACGACGTGAAGTTGTTGTTATAGATGCCTGTGTAAACAAAGGTCGCGGGGAGGTCGAGCTTTCGAACATACTCTTCCACCTCGTGTTTTGCTGCCCAAAGTGGTAAAGAGGGCCAGTCCTTGTTATAGGCCTTGTGATCAGGCATCGACGAATAGATGTAGTGTTGGACCCCCGCCTTCTTGGCAGCATCAGCTAGAGCCATACCAATTTGAACTTCATCGCCGTAAAATGTCGTGTTAATGAAGGCCAGCTGTGCGCCACGGAACAGATTTGATATCAGGTCATGGTTGACGCCGACGCCGGCAATCGGACCATTTTGCGTAACGTCTTTGTTTTCATTTGTAGGATTGTGCCTGGTATACAGTTCACCCACAAATACTGTTACGTTTGGATTAGTCGAGACCTCGGTGGCAACAACACCTTCAAGATTTCTCAATTGTGCTCGCACGCGATATCCGACGGCTGTGGCGACACGAATCAGGGACGCAGCCTGGCGCCCGCTTGCGTTGGTAATAGCGATGGTCTTGTCTGGAGTTGACATGTGTCGCTTGGGCGGGCGGAAAGTCAGAGAGTTGTTTCTAGAGTTGGCCAGCGGAGACGACTCTGAGTAGGACGATCGCGAGTGCTTGTGTTGTTTGCGGTAGTTGTTACTCTGGTCGTTGGCAATATGAATCGGGATGCTGGCTGCCATAGGGCCAGTAATTTGGGCTGGCATGGTTCGATCCCTGTCGCTCTCGACGTGCTGGCTAGGGTGGGAAAGCGCAACGAGCGATGGTGACAAGGAGATGCGCGCAAGGCAGAAGGCTTCCTTTCCGTGCAGCATGCAACAGGCGAGGCCACCGTGGTTTCGCACACGACGGCCCGCCTGGGGGAGCAGGTAGATGTCCTGGATACTTGGGCGGGATTCGCAGGGCACTCCAAAGGCCAGAAGGCTCTGGGCGACGTTGGTTTGGTGGACGGTGAGGAATGAAAGTCTGTACGTAAAATACAAGTGCTCAGTGGGCCGACGATGGTGCGAGGACAGGAACTGCTGGCCAATGCAGGCGACTCACGACGGGCGCACGACAGGCTATGTCTGAGCGGGGTGGTCAATTATTGGTAACCGGAATTTGGAATTGGAGCGAGATCGTGAGGTCAGCTGGATGGTGTGCGGTTCGCCGAGGGCTTCGCGGAGAAGTTCCTCGAGGCGGTTCTGGCGAGCCAAAGGCTAGAGTCGGGATAGGCTGCTGGACGGTGCCTGAGACAGGCAAGGGGAAGGGTCTCGCAGTAGTACTGCTATGGTATGGTGTATGTATGGATGGATGCGTCGCGCGCAAACGCCTTTTGACGTGGTCCGGTTCGTGGTTGGGTTGATTGAGGTGGGCACTTTTGGCCGAGAGCGATGGGGAATGGAGGGGCACAGCACGCAGCCGCGCAGGACCGGAGTGTCGCCACGGCCTGTCAACCGTGGACGCGCTGTGCGAAGGCGGGCGAGGATGTTCTGAAGCACGAACGGATGCGGCCTCGCAACTTGGGCAAAGGGGTGCAGACGGTCTGTTTGACGATGCTCGCACCGGAGGTTGGCAAGTTCTGAGCCAGCCTCCCTCTTATCGACGCAAAAGATAGGGCCTCAGACGACGAGATCGGATGGTGGGGTTCCGGGCAGGCGCAGGCGCAGCGGAAGTCGGCTGGCAGGAGCAATCCAGTTGATAAGAGCTCGAGCTGCTTCCCAAACGACGACTCGAATGCCAAGGCCGTGTCTCAAATATCGATGCCGCTCGTAATATGCAGGAGATACGAGGAGAAGGGGAGGAGCAAGAAAACGAAGGCCGAGGCGAGCTCGAGCACGAGCACGAGAATCAAGAAGAGGGCGCCTCGATGCAGGTGTGTTATGGTATATGCTGGATTGGCACAACAAGAATCCGGGGCCGAGGGCGGAGGCCACGGGAGACGTGAGGGAACACACGATGGCAAAGAGGCACTGGGACGACCTGGATGGATCTGCTCCTGCCTCCACAGGTTTGGGACCTGGACCTGGACCGAAGTGGCACCTGCCCCGAGACGCAGTCGTAGTAGTCGATCGACCTCTCTGCCTGGGGATGGCTGCGCATGCGGTCTGCTGCGCTTGATGCTCGATTGCTCGATTCTCGATGCTTGGGCAGGCCGAAATTCATCTCCTGGCTAGCGAGTCCACCAGCAATCAGACTGGAAAGGAACCACGCAGGTACCCTGGCCGCTGTGGCCGCACGGCGCATCGACCGCGTAGCGCCGGGGTACTCCATGTCGCTCAAACCTGCGTCGCAAAACCTGCACCGATTCATCGACACACGCCCGTCAACCAAGAGATAACAGCCAACAGGCTTATCAGTGACAGGTAAACGGGCGACGGGGGCATGGAGAAGTTACAGAATGGCTGAAAAGTCTGATGGTGGGTGGATGCGCCAGCTTGATGGACATCGGCGTCAGTGTTCCATGGATGCGCCGCCACAGACCTTCAACACATTGCTGGGTATCTCGTCCCGACTTGCCCGCCCCTATATCAAGTAGGCAGACAGACTCTGAGCACTAACTGCCAGTTCAGGAGAATACCAGCAGCTCATGCGCGCCAACAGCTTATCCTCCCATCCTACGCAGTCTGGGTTGGGTGCCCGGATTCTGCCGACACTAGCATTGCGCCGTCAAAAAATAAGCAGACCTCACATCATCAACAGCCCTGAACAAGAATAGTGGCCCTTGACCAAATGACCCTGGGGCCCAACTAATAACCTCCAGGCATTGTTACGATCCGTAGGAGGTTTCCGAGGGGGATCCTTCAGTCCTTGCTGCTCCTCTACAATATAGATTCTGGGGCTGGCCAATCGCACTACATGTGGTTCTAATGATCAACGACCTTCGTCAGTCGCAGGCCATGAAAAGTCATGACGATTGTGCAATGGCTATGCTGGATTGCATGATGCCCATTTCCAGCGCAATTCCGCTAAAACCCTTAACCTTGGAAAACGTTGACACGAGCCCAAGACCATTGAAATGACAAGATACTGTCGGAAATGAGACGCGGCTAGAGGGAATCCGACCTTTGGTTTTTGAAGTGCCACACATGCGCTCTGTGCACCGCAGCATCCCGCGGCTAACCATGACATCGTCACCGCGACAGGCAATCGCCCATAGGCATCGTCAGGAACTGAGAGCCCACCATGCCGCCTCCTCTTCTTGTTGCGGACAGTCTTCGTTCACTGGCTCCCAGCACTGCAAAGTGAGCTCACACTTATGCTTGTTTTAGCCTCAAGATGCGGTGAGGCTGGAACAGCCGGGCTTGCACAGCAGGCCGATTGGATGGGAATCGTCATTCAAAGGAAGCCTCACTTCGACCTCCTGGACTTGGTAGGTATGGCCATTTGCCCAGTTTCTCCCGCAATGCACTCTGGCCCAACTTTGGGATTGGCAAACACATAACATGGTTGTCGGGGCCAATGGCTTCCAGGCCAATTACTCGTTTTGCTGCCATCATGTTACTGTCACCTGCAACGTTATAAGACAAGCTATGTGGATGCTGCATTAGAATTAGGTAAAGTTTTCTGCCCTCTCTCCAGTTAAAATTTTTCGTGTTGAATCAGTTTCTCATACCGTTTACAAAAGGTTGTCCCAAAACGGGGCCGTCTGATTGTCCAGCCCAAGGCCCGCTCAAACACCCCACGGCAACCGGACTCATGGGCATCAAATGGTCACAAGACTGCTGGGTGGCTCGATCTCAGTGTCCATTGTCCATGCTTCCTTCGTGGCTAGTCGATAGCGGCGGACATGGTAGTGGCCCGCAACTCTAGGTCGAGTTGTCAAGGCTGTAAAGTGGCTCTTGGGAGAGTTCACCACCACTGATAGCACCACGGGTCATATTTGCTATGTCCTACGTGCTGGGCAAGCAACGGTTCAGAAGTTGAGGCAAAAAAAAGGGGGGGTTTCTAGTTCGTGTTTTCCTATTCCAACTACTATTCCTCGATCTCACAATGCTAACTAGCATCATGACTGTGAAGCAAAGCGCCAGCCTGAACATGATCTCCAATTCACCTCCGCAAGTACCTGGCACAAATAATAACTAAATGACCCCGGCTTTAGTGCGCCCGATTTCGATTCCAAGCCATTGGCCCAAAGCGTCTCCAACAACAAGACCATGCCCCATCAGACACACCGACATATCTCCTGAAGACGACGTGGCGTGAATTTACCAACGACGGATTGTTGTTCGCCTTCTTGCTCACCTACTACTATTATGCTGTGCACTTCTCGGCCCCGCGCCCCATTGAAGAAGTGTGCCCGCGGGCAGTTAAGTGATGTCAGAGATTGATTGAGCGGTCTGGGCGCAAAAGACTGTCTCTGAGCATGGATAGTACTAGTATAACGAACAGGCCGGAAAAGGGTTGTCTGAGCTGCATGAACTTGACACATGGGAGGCTGGCCAGAAGTAGTTACCCCAGATTTCTGTATTGGGAGTTGAGACATGCCAGCAAGCAACCTCGGCCCTGGGCCCTGGCCAAGTAGTACATACCTTGACACGGGACATTAAATTGCGTCTTTGATGCACCGCCAATGACACAACAGCACACCAGGCCGGGCAAAAGCAATAGTATTGTGCGACATGAGATGGTATCGGCATTGCGGCGGGTGTGCTGATCCGTCCTGCCGTTCTGGTGGGAGGAGCTTTCCCGTGAAAACCATGACATGCAGCTCTTTGTCGCATGCAGGAGAATACTACTACAAGGGGAGCTTGCATCGCCTAGTTCTCACCAATTTTAGATATGCGGGGGATGCAGACGACCAGGCAGACTGCCCAGGTGTCTTGGTTGTGTACTACACATCTCAGCTTATTACATACAGCACGGACGAAGACGTGTACGACGACACCAACGAGGTCAACAGTCGTGCTAGTAGTATTCCGATCTTTGTCACCGAGAAACAATAATGTGTTGGCACTTGAGAATCACGTCTAGTCCCAGCCTTCCGGGTTCTTTTCCCGGTCCAAGCCATGGCCAAGTCGTAGGATGCTGCTTATCTCTGGCCAGTCACGAATCACACTTTCGGATCACGTTATTGACCAGTGGGCTTATGTTACGGTAGTACCTCTCGCAGCACGGTCTAGCAAGTAGTAGACGTATTGGTCCGGCGCAGCTCGAGCACCGGCAATTAGAAAAGCATTGTGTTTTTTCTTTCTCTTCTCTGCGGCCATCGGGCGCCTTTCCTTCCCCAACGAGCTTTGGTGGTTGACCATCAATTGCGTTTTGCGGGCCGATCCTGAGGGGGCGTTGGTTAGACCTGAGGCGACCGCAGCCAACATGAGCTAGGCAAGTTGATACAGCCAATGACGAATTACGTGTTACACATTCAATCACGGATCACGGTTCCCAGCAAATGTCATATTTCACAATTGAAGAGTGGACTGGAATATACGGGGCATGGACAGATCAAATATTATGCCAAAGATGGCCGTTGAGTGCTATCACGTTCGCAACCCAGCACTGCTATCTAGACGGGAAGTGTCTGTGTGCTTCCCCAGATGGCCGGCCCCATAGCCCGGGATCCAGCATGTCCAGTTCATCCAGGGGCAGTTTCTCGACCCATGACGCTCCAGACGCGGAATTAGTGCCGGCGGTATGGCTATGTGCCAGGGAGACGTCAAGAAAACGCTGGTGACCAAGATTAGCCAGTGTTCCGACCTGATATTGTCTCTTCCTTTATGGCATAAGGGGGAGATTTTTTCGTAAAGGTCCAGATTTGGGAACAACTTACCCAGTCCATATTATCTGCTGGCTCCATCCACGACGGATCAAAGCCTAGGTTACTCCCAAGAATGGCCTCCGACGTGGCGGGGAGTGGAAAGTCCATTGCTGGAGTAGCATTGGTCGTTGGCTGGGCCATGGGGAATGGTGTAAGCCCTGAAGATGAGTTCGCTCCTGTTATCAAAAAAAGTCAGCACACCGTCGGCAAATAGACAGGCGCCTTCATACCTTCAATCCAGATACTAGAGAGTAAATCCGGCTCGCCAGTAGAAGTACCCTTCTCCGCTGATGATGACCACCCAACCGACCCCGAGGACGGGTATTCCGAACCTCGTGTTGGTATCCTCACTTCCTTGTCCACCGGATCCCCTAATTTACTCAACATGGCGGCCAGCGCGTCCGCCGTCTTCCTCAACTCAGCCACGTTCTCGGATACCTCTGTCCAAATCATATAGGACCGCTTCAGCATGCCTTTGAGCTCCTCCTTGCTGGGCTTCTTGCCGTCAAAGTCGAACCCTTCTCCATCGGGATAATTCTCGTTCTTGATCAGCAGATACACAATCATGGCCGCTAGCAAGTAGTCGTGTACGGCCAGGGACGACAGGAACCACGACGTGGAGCTGAGCACGTTGCCCGGCTTCGAGTGCCTCCATATAAGGTACTGATTTTGGAGCAGCGACAGCGCCGCGTCGATGCCCTGCTGGCGAGAATAGTTGTGGTCCTTGTCGGGAACGGGTTCGGCGAGATACCGTCTGTGTAGGACGCAGCGGCACTTGTTGTAGAGTGCGGCCAGGCCAAAGCGCTGGGTCAAAAGGACGGGCGTGTCGCCCACGCACTCGTCTAGGGGGCGGACGCGCATGAAGCCCGGGAGAGCGCCCCATGTGTCCTGCAGAACGGCGTCGAGCCGCAGCACGTCGGTGTACTCGGGGGGTGAGAGCGAGTGCGCCTGGTTGGCGATTTGGCCAAAGACTCTGATGATTTTGGTCTTGTTGATGGTGTACGTCACATGTGTGTACTCGGTGGCTGGTCTCGCCGGGGGTAGGGACGTGGAATCTTCGTCAAAGTCCTCATCTTGGAGGTTGGACGGGGGGCGCGTGTCCGACTCGATGCCCTGCAGCATGCTCGGCAGGCCCATGTGGAAGGAGACGATGAGCTCGATCTGCACCGCCATGTTCCATAACCTCCGCCGCATCTCGCCTTCGTAAGGGGATATATTGGCCAGCTTGGACGGGTCGCGGTGGAGGCCCATCTTGAGCAGGAGCCGGATGCACACGCCCGAGAGGACGTAGCAGTTCATCTGGGCCGCGCGGTTGAACATGAAGTGGGATTCGACGTAGAGCAGGAACGCGGGCAGCGTCGTGGACGTGGGCTGCGTGTACTTGCCCCAGATGAGGGCCCAGCCGGCGCAGGAGCGGTAGTGCTTGATGCGGTCCAAGATGGGGACGGGCGAGTCGGCTGAGAGTTCGTGGGGAGCGGCGAAGCTGTTGAAGAAGATGCCCAGCGCGAGCATCATGAAGAGCTGGGCGAGCCAATGGAGGGTTACGTCGTTGGAGTCTTGCCAGAACCGGGCATACTGGGGGGGGATGTTAGTATGAGATGGCAGATGGCCGTTTATGAGAAAGGAGGGTGAGTAGTTTTACCATTTTTGTAAATGTAGGTCGATGAATAATATCTGTTCTTGCGTGAGAAAGTGTTCACGGGGTTTGGCACGAGGTGGCTCACGTTGAGAAGGACTCATGGATGCAAAGTATCTCTTAATCAACCGATCTGCAACATGCCTATCCGGCAGCTGCGCGATGAGTTCGTCCCTGTTTGTCGGCGGAATCGTCGGGCACAACAGCATTTCAGGCGCATCCAGATCATCCGTCGACAAGATCCCTTCCTCGTGGGCCCCCGTATCATCAAAGTACGTTTTCAAGTCCTCAATCTACAGAACCCTGATAAGCATCTCGTCTATATATACCGCGGCACGAGCCCTGTGTGATTGCAAACTTACGTCCTCGAGCATAGCCATGCAGTGCGTGGCCCCGACGTAGGTCGTCCCATGCTCCCCCTTGACCACATGGCCCTGCAACGAGGGCACGGCGCTCCCCTCGCTGCTTCTCCCCGGCGGCTTCGCATCTCCTTCGTTCTCCATCATCTCCCGCACCAGGCTCTCGAGGCGCTTGAGGCGCGAAGTCATGTTCTTGGCCGGGGGCTTCTTCTTGACGGGCCTGGGGGCGTAGACGCACTGGTCCATGCGGCCCTTCTTCTCGCACTGCGAGCATGGTTGCTGGCGGTCACATTTGAGCTTGGAGTTGCGGCAGGGCGCGCAGGAGAGGAGGATCCGCGTGCGCTTCTGGACTTGTTTGTCGCCGGGGGAGGGCTCGCTGGGGCTGGAGTCTTGGGGCATGAGGCTGCTATCTCATGCGCGGGTGTGTGAAGGGCGGAAATACAGTCTGTCGCCGAAAAGTGTGTACACCAATATACTAGTATAGAGCGCGATAGCCGGGTACCTGATCTGGTCAAATACTCTCTGCCTCCCGCTGCAGTGATCGGCCGAGAGGTGTGGGTTTCGAGATGTATGTACGATGAAATGAGAATGAGATGTGATGCAGCCTTGCTGCGAGGACTGTCGCAATATCTGCCACGGTTGCATCGCCTGTACCGTTTCGGCATTTCAGTCCACTTGCCTCGATCGGGTTTAACAGCTAAACTCCAGCCTACCGCTGCACCCTCCCCGACTCGCCGTGGGAAAGAAACAAGGGCACGCAGAACATCGCCAGAAACGCTACAAGACGCCCTTGATCATCACGAAATTGTCATTATGCTACAAGAAATTACTCAGGCGCCCCCGGCAGCCTCTCAATCACATACTTGCCCCTCGCCACGCTCATCAACGGCACCCCTGCAATTCGACGGATGCGCCGTTTCAAAAGCTTATCGTTGGTGCCCACGATGTATATCCTATCCTTGGTCACCCTGTCCACCAGACAGTCGTCCGCGTACGTGCCCTTGTGGTCGCACTCTAGTCGCTGCCACCGCTCGTCCCTCGCAACCCGCAGCGCCAGCCGGTACTTTGGGCCCAGCTTCTCCAACTCCGCCATGACACACGACGTTATGATCGGGTTGCACTTGGCGTACAGGCAGTCCATCATGGACTCTAATAACGACAGCTTTCGCTGCACCGTGTGGCTGAGAAAGTTGGTGTCGACGAGGACGTTGTAGGGAGGCACGAGCGCTGTGTTGTGCTGGAAGAACATGTTGCTGGGCATCTGGGGTGCTTCTCGGATCAATTCGCCATTGATGGTCTTCTTCTCTTTGGCTTTGGCTTCTTCGTCTTTTTTCTGGTTTGTTTTGAGCCGTGCGTCGCGCAGGCCTATTACTCGCTTGACCTGGACATTTGGCGAAACGTTAGCAGGCTCAGTTCTGAATGGGATTTTGGTTATCGATAAGGACTGACCTGGCCGAATTTTCTGGTTTTCTTCGCGACACCCATGGTGGCGGCTGTGAAATGCGCTCTTCTCGTCCTGATGCGTATCCTCCGGTGTTTCTGGCGCGTTTGAACCCAAATTCGGGTCTTTGCGACGAGTTGCGCTGTCTGATTCGGCCTTTTTTTGGTTGTTGTATGGCAGAATATGGTCTGCTGGGAAAAAGTTCAACATTGCTTTGGCTAATGGTTGGATTTGCCGCCTCAGTCCAAAGGCGGTGGAGCGGGCAAACCACGCACGGACCACTTGCACCTCGTCAAGCCCCACGAGCCAGAAGCCCGATACACCACCAAAGACGCGTCTCCAGGTCGCGTAAATTGATCGTTCCAAGTTCACTTCCATCATCGCCGTCGCCATGCCCGCCACCAAAACCGAGGAAAGGGGCGAGTCCTCGACCGCTGCGTCAAAGGCAGCCCTGGCCTCGTCTTCGAATGCATCTCCGAATTACGAATTGCCATGGTACTCTTGTCCTCCTCCCCCTCAAAACTGGCGCCGCTAACATGCTGTTTGAAGGGTGGAAAAGTACCGTCCCGTCTTCCTGGACGATGTGGTGGGCAACACAGAGACGATCGAGCGGCTGAAAATTATAGCTAGGGAGGGAAATATGCCCCATGTCATTATTTCAGGAATGCCGGGTATCGGAAAGACAACAAGCGTGCTGTGTCTGGCTAGACAGCTACTGGGAGAGTCATATAAGGAGGCTGTCCTGGAGCTGAATGCAAGTGACGAGAGAGGTATGTGGACAAATATCTGAGAGAGATGGAGAGAAAAAATTTTCAATGCTCACCACTGTGTCAAGGCATTGATGTCGTACGCAATCGAATCAAGGGCTTTGCGCAAAAGAAGGTCACATTACCCCCCGGCAGACATAAGCTCGTCATTCTCGATGAAGCAGACAGCATGACATCGGGTGCGCAACAAGCTCTTCGCCGAACCATGGAGATCTACTCCAACACGACCCGATTCGCCTTTGCATGCAACCAGTCCAACAAGATTATTGAGCCGCTGCAGTCGCGATGCGCCATCCTCCGATATGCAAAGCTGTCCGACGCCCAGGTTGTCAAAAGATTAATGCAAATCATTGAAGCCGAAAAGGTTGAATACAGCGACGACGGTCTTGCTGCCCTTGTTTTCAGCGCAGAAGGGGATATGCGACAGGCAATCAATAACTTGCAATCAACCTTTGCTGGTTTTGGCTTCGTCTCTGGAGACAATGTGTTCAAGGTCGTCGACTCGCCTCATCCCATCAAAGTACAGGCTATGCTGAAGGCGTGCTACGAGGGTAACGTAGATTCTGCGCTGGATACTTTGAGGGAGCTGTGGAATCTGGGATACTCTAGTCACGATATCATCAGCACCATGTTCAAGGTGACCAAGACGATTCCAACGCTAAGCGAGCATTCAAAGCTGGAGTTTATCAAGGAGATTGGCTTCACCCACATGAAAATTCTGGAAGGCGTCCAGACGTTGCTGCAACTGAGTGGCTGCGTTGCGCGGCTGTCCAAGATTAATATGGATCCAAAGAAGTTTCAAGTAGCTGCAAAATAAAAGAGTGAATTTTCGGAGGGTGCATGAGTAGGCGTTGGAGTTGGATCGGTTTCTATTAGTTGAGGTACATGACGGGTGGCCTCGGAAAACATCTATTCGATAGGGTATGTGGCCAAGATGCCTCTCTGACATTTGCTGTTGATGAAATAAAGTACAATGCAACATGCTGCAGCATAATTTTTGCGTGGTAAATCCAAATCCAAACCTCAATCATTTCTCGCCCTCATTCTTTCCAAATTCCTCCTCGTACCGCTCCCACTTGGCCTTTTCCCTCATCCATCTCCTTTGCATGCGCATCTGGTATTCGTATTGTCTTAGGCGCCAATCGGCTTCAATCATGCCTCCTAGCACCATGCCTGACATTTGGAGGTACCTGCAGGCTAGTGTGAGTTCTGAACCAAAGGATCGTGATGGGTAGGTGTTTATCTATGCCCTCACACTTTGAACTGGACCGTTGTTCCGCGGTAAATAGGTGACCATACGTAGCCAATGGCCCCGAGAACAGCTGCCCCTGCTCCCCATTTCGCTGCGCCCATGAGAGCGCCTTTTCCCGCCTCCCATGCGGCGTCGTTGGCCTCTTCTGTTTTCAACGGATCGTGGGTTTTCATGGTTGTGGGGGAGAGCCAACTACGTGAGCGGCTCGGACTCAATTGCAGTTTGCTAATCTGCTTCTCCAGACTAGGTCGCAAACACGCATGAAATATTACAATCAAAGTATTTTACATTGGCCAATGAAGAAGAATCGTATGATGATTTTAAATAAGAGCAGTTGTGGGGTGCGTACGGATGAATGAGCTCATTCGGAAACGACGGCTGCGTTCTGTCGGCCAGCCTAGGGTAGCCGGCTATCGGTATGCAGATGGTGACTGCGATGGTCAATGATCGTGTGCTCAATCAAACTTGGTGCCGTGCGGCCGTGCTGAGGCCAAGGTCTCCACTACGCCCCGCTAGATGCACCGAAACACCGTCTACTGGCATAGTGGAGGCTGCTTGGCTCCATCTGCGCCCGCCGAATATCTTTGCAAGCTGGCAACAAATTTCGACTTCTGCCTCCCGTCATTCTTCCATCTTCTGGAAGATGATGACACGATACCAACTCGTAATGACCACGCTGGTGCTTGCTGCCTAGCCCCCTTTGCATGAAGCGTTCATCTGCACCAAAGTCTGATTTTTGATTTTGTCGCTGCGTTTCTTTGCATCTGTGATTTCCTCCTGTCTTGCTACACCTTTCTGCGACGGAAGCGCACACTGCTACCAGGCTTGCCGTTACTGATCCCATACTCTGTGCCCACCATGGATATTGCACTGGAGAATTACTGGCGGCTACCGCCAATGTCCAGGTAAGAACCAAGAAGCCGAAAAAATGCCTTGACCGTGCTGACGTGGCCGCGCCGCAGAAACATTGCAACCTGTGCATTCGTCATGTCCCTCGGCATCGTGCTGGGCATGATGCCGTCCAAGTACTTCATCTACCACCCGTTTTTCATACTTAGATTCCCGCCCCAGATATGGCGTTTCGCGACGTCCTTTTTAATCACGGGCTCAGGCTTAGGCCTTGTCTTTGACACCTACTTCTTGTATTCGTACCTCAGCCAAATGGAGGTTGGCAATCCTCGGTTCCCACGAAAGGAAGACCTGATTTGGTACCTTATATTCGTCTGTGGGACGATTTTGGTAAGCTCTCATGCCCAAGTTTTGCCACTTGATTTCCGCCCTTGGTGCACCTGTTTTGAAGAGTTGAGCTTGCAAACGCAAAACCCCTCTTATATCTGCCCGGATAGTGTCGTGCCTCTACTACTATCACGGTTCCTGGAAATGAGGAAGAGAACCCCTGCTCTTCGGTTCAGTCCATTATTCGCAGGGCTGTTCCGCGGTGTAGGCATGGTGGGATGTCTTATGGATGGCTCGTGTGATCCCCAAATTCACTCGGGTGGTTTTATTGCTCCCTACATTTTATTACCTTGTCCCATAGTCTTTTTACACATTGATCTGTTTCTGTCTTCGTACCTGCCGTAGAAGAGAAAGAATTGAAGCTGACTCCCAGCTTCAGGTAGCAAATCACTTTGTCGGCTTCGGGTTCATGATGTTCCTGCCGGCTCTTATTCTGGCTCTAAGCTATACTGTGACGCAGGACCAGCGCGGAGCCAAGGTCAGCTACATGTTTGTTACCATGCCCGCCCAGATGATGCCGTATGCCATGCTTGCCATCAACCTCCTGTTCCCTGGCGGCGTTGAGAACATGATACTCCAGTTTCATGGCCTGTTTGCCGGTCATCTCTTCGACTTTCTGTCAAGGACGTGGCCGCAGTACGGCGGTGGGAGAAACCTCATTCCCACACCTGCCATCCTATCCAGGATTGTGCAGTCGACCGAGTCGTTATTTCAAGCGGGCGTTGGAGGTCCTGCCCGACCTGCTGGCAGGACTCTTGGCGGAGGCACTGGCGCCAATACTTCAAGTGGACCGTTGCCGGACTCTTGGCGAACGCGTGGTCCAGGGCAGCGACTGGGGTAGACGGTGGTACTGTAATAGGTTTAAGTAATGTATAAAGAAAAGAATTGATTCATGATATGAAATAATTGCTATATTGTCCCGGCGTTATGGCACCACAACTCCAAGTCCCTACCCAAGGCCAATTAAATGATAGTGGGGAAGCATATCCCGAAAAAAAAACCTTGAACACCAGGATAACCGGAATAATCTTTCAGAAAACCACCCTGTATGCATCTCTACGCAAAAAGTGGCGCAATGGCTCTTGCTGCGCTGAGAGTATAATAGCACACCATTACTACGACTACTGACGCGATTCAGTAGCCGTACAGAGTGCTTTTCCCGCTTCTCAAAGGAACTTCGATATAGCCATCCTGCCTGGCAACATTGACCAACGGGGGCGGCGCTCGATCTCTCGACATGGCCACCGGTCCAGACATGGGTATATCGTGAAACCTGGGGTCGTGCGTCATCAACGGCGGCGAGATTTGCATTTGACGCACATCCCTGGGTCCCTCTCTGTTGATAAATATCTTGGGTATTCGAAGCTTGGGCATATACGGCAGATAAGGGGTAGAAATGGCTGTAGTTCTCTTGCTTTGCGGCTCTGGGGCGTAGCTGGTGGGATGGAGGGATTTTCGAGCGGCCAGCCGGGCGGAATCCTCGGCGGCGTTTAGATAGGCCTGGACGGCAAACGAGTCTGGTGTGTTTGAGCGGCGGTGGGTGTGAGTTTCCGCCGGCGGCGAGGGTGTTCGCGCTGGAGTGACGTGGCCGAAGGAGCGGGACCGGCACACGCTGCTCGCGGGTAGGGTCTCGTCCTGGTTATGGATGGTCGGGCTGGATGAGACGTGGCTATGCGGTGCCGAGTTGGCTTGCTTGTTTTGCCTTGCGGAGGCGGCTAGTTCTGCCTCGACGCGGTCGTAGTATTCGCCGCTGGAGTTGGGCTGTGCTGGGTGCGCCTTTTCGCTGAAGGCGTTGCCGGTGTAGTAGCGACGGTAAGCTTGCGACATGGGCTGTTCTGTGTACGCGGCTGGCGGGGGGAAGTTGGAGTAGTAGCAGGACTGTTCCCACTCGTTCCAGGACCGTTCGCGGCGGAAGTGGACTACGAGGAGGGCAGCGGCCAGGAGGAATATGAGGAACACGCCTATGGCGATGCCGGCGATGGCGCTGGGCGAGAGGCTGCCGCTGGACTGATTCGCTTGGTCGTTGGCAGAGGGGTCCGTCGTGTTGATGGGGGAGGTGGTGAAGACGCTTCCGCTGAGAGAGAGAATCGCACCGTCTTCTGGAGCTTGTTTGCAACCGGCCTCGAGCGCAGCCAGGACTATGGGGGCGTTAGAATTTTGATATTGATGCGGGGAGATGGGCTTGATGGAGATAATTTTTCTTGTCTTACAGTTGGAGAGATAGGCTTCCCCCTCGGTTGCTTGGAGACAACTTATACATGGCGAGAGGTTCGGCCCCATGAAGGCACCGTTGTTGGCGGTGCAGTAATCCCAGGTGGTGTTTGGGTTGGCGTTGAAACCTGGCTCTATCAACGGCTCCTTCATGGCCATGCAGGCCTTGTCTATATTGCATTGAGCTGCCACGGTGCCGTTTTTCACGGCCTTGGGCGCGGCGTACATGCATGTGGTGAGGGTATATCGTAGATTATCTGCCACTTGTCTGTCAGTCTTTGACGACATACGCCAGGCGCACGGGGTCCCAGAGTCTTGAGCCGTACATATGTACCATTTCAGGTCCGACTCGGTCTTGTCAACCTTCTTGCTATGTTGCAAGCAGTCCAGGCACTTTCTGAACTTGATGCCGGCATCGGTGGTCGAGTAGTCCAGGTCTTTGCAGCTGATGTCGTCGACCGTCGTGGTCGAGTCCGAGGCACTGAAGTCGTTTCCACCAGGCGAGTCGAGGCATTCTACTGCACACCGTGATCCCGGGGTGACTTCCAGGGCAGTGGTGAGGCCGGCTATGGCTAGGATGAGAAGAGTGACGGCTGGAAGCTCCATGGTGTTGCGGCGTCCAGGCCCCGGAAGGGCGAGACGGGAGGAGTGCTTGATGAGGGACTGGGTAAACTGATGCTCGTTACATGGCCTGAGGGTTGCCAAGCTGGCACTCTGTTCTCGGTTGCACACAGAGGGGCAGGAAAACCCTCAGACGGTATATAAACTGGCGAGGAGCAAGATGCGGCGGCCGGGAGGGAGGATCGAAATCTCGAGCCAAGATGCAAGCTAGCTAGCCGAACAGCCCCAAGCACAGAATATTATATGAAAGAGCATCTTTGGCCCTGTGTAACTGTGATTCAGTCTCTGGGGGCGGTGGGGACCCGAGACGGGCGAAATGCATTCAATTGCGCATGGTTGATGGTGGTGGCTTGCTGGCTCTGCCGGGGGCAACAGAGCAGCTCGGTTGTCGAGACTCTCGAGAGTCTGCACATCTTCTGTTGGACGTTCCAGACGTCCCTTGCCATCTCCGAGCCGTGCGTGGGTGCTGTACTACCACGTTTGGGCCAGTCAAGGCATGCGGAATATCGGCCTGAACCAACAGCATTCAATGTTTTGGCTGTTGGTGACATGACGGGATGGTTGCATGAGTTGCATGGGCGGTGGTTGAAATGTCAAGTCAACATTGAAGTGCCAAAGAGATCAAGTGCGGACGACGAGCAGCCAGTGAGATGGCGCTGCACAGGCCGCTAGACGCCTCCGCAACCCAGACCCCTGCGGGCCGATCCAATCATGGCGCTGATGACCATCCGTCTTCCCGACCTGCCACTCGCGGCTTCTGCCTTGACGGACGACCGCATTGGCTTGCTGGCTCGTCTGCGAGGCGGTGGGGGAGGCGGGAGCCTTTGGACAGTTGACATTTGGACACTCGAGGTGCGTTTGAGACGGCGTGCGCGGCGAGAGGGTGGGTTTAGTCTTGGGGAGACTGCATGTGTGAGTAACCCTTTGCTCTTTGTCCGTATCTCTGGACCAGTTCGTGACAAGTGAGCCGTGTGGTTTTGCTTCAAGCATCTGATACGGGCGTACAGGGAGCCCCGAGACCAGGAAAACTGGTACGACGACTGTCTTCGGCGTCTACGGAGTAGTACTTTCACCATCTTGCGGCTCCGCCGTGCGATGAGTTCGCAAACCGATGCGAGCTCCCATGTTTTACGTTACGGAGGACGAGCCGGGTGGGCATGCACACACACCAGACACACCCTCTTGAGCCCCGACATTGCGTCAAACAACCGTTGAGCTCTACAGGCCACTTCCTGGTGAGGGCCTAATGATGACTCGAGCTTTGCCTGTCATGATATGCTATCATACATGCCCAATAACCTGCTATATCCCTCGCTTGACCCTTGGCACCACTACACAAGCCAAAACGCTCGCCCTGGTGCTCTACTCAAGTTGATACATTTTTCACTCCAGGAGGGGAACACAAAGGAGGAACCATAGTACGGAGTACGGAATAGATCTCTCGAAAAGTCAAGATGCAGGGATGTAGCATCTCGAGATGGCGCGGGGGGCTTGGCAATCGCCTCGTCCGATCCCAGCCCCGGCGGCGCTACTGATGTGGCATCGACGATAACCGCCAACGCGGTTATTCAAATACTACATACTAGCACTCCGTAATATGGATCCATTTCTTGTTCCTCTCGGGTGCATATCGTGAGTCGTGCCCGGGGCGGTTCACCACCACGCCGCGTATAACCCGGGAGGTGGAGGTGACCGGGTAGGAACATGGCAGATGCATTCACAGAGGTATTTGTCCATTTCAACCTCGACGTAGGCGGGGGATTTTTGCAATTCGTACGGAGTATTCCGTAGGCTGGGATGATGGACTGCAGTTGTCACTACCGGACCCTTGCAGGCTGAGACATGGGTTTCGATCAGGAGAGACATGTGCCGTCACTTGACCGAGTGTACGGAGAACAAGCCCTTGTATTACTACTTCGTAGATCATGGTCTGTGGATGAACAACAAACAAACCGGAACGGTGGCACTCGAGAGCAGAGATTCTGTGGCTGGGTTTCCGCTCTAATCGTGCAGAGAGCCTTTTCTTGTGATTGACAAACACAGCACGGCTTGTACGGCTGCTTCTAGGGAGACGGTATCAGACACCGGTTGGGAGATGAGTTGAGACTAACCGCGATGCCATTGTGCCATGATTGAACTTGCTCGTGTCACTGGAAGCAGTTTCAAGCTTACATGTTAAAAGAGTCTCAAGATTTGGACTGCCTCGAAGCTGAGATTATAAGAAGCTAGCAGACCAGTATCTTTTTACGTAAAATTGAGTCCGTCTGTCAGCAAAACTCTCTGACCATGACGATGCTCACTATCAAGTACACCTCGCTGTTATGTATCTGGACCGTCGCGCAGAGTATTTACGCTGCATCCGGCGAGTCACACGACAAGCGCGGCAATGACAAGGCCCTCTATGAAGCCCCAAGCTGGGAGTTGACAAATGTCACCAGACGCAAGTTCTATACACAATTCCCCTCTCCTCCTCCGTAGCCTCCGGCCGGTTCGTCTCTAACGGTCTGGCCACCATTAGGTATCCCAAGCGACGGGGACATCTGGATGAGATTCGACATCAGCAGCCCCAACCTCGACCCCATGTACTGCTACATGCTGGTTCACGTCAACGGGGACGCGAGACATGCCTCCTTCTCCGACCAGAGGTGCGTGGGCAGCAACTTCACCGTGTCCTGGGGTTACACGAGGGATGACGACGCAGGCATCATGACCATCGTCAAGTAAGCCACCACAAACCGCCCACAGAGAAGCGAAATCCCACGGATCACATACTGACCTGTTGGCAACAAAAAACTCCTTAGCCCCGGAAGAACCCGTCGGTGCTGGTTCGGATGGCGAGGAGTCAATGCAAAGGAGCACCTCGAAGACGCGGGCCCAAACAACACCGCGGAGATGCCGCCGATGTGAGTTCTGCACCGGGATGGACATGGCTTTGCTTGTCTGGAGCATCTCGGTCAAGTCTCTGCATTGTTCTTGCCTGGGCTGCCGCCAACCGGGGCATTTTCGACGCAATTCCGAGAATTCTGGTGTTGGACGAGGCGCAATACTTTGCGCTTGCTTTATTGTATTTCGGTTATACGGCATGAGGGGAGAAATAATGGACTGCGCCCTGTGCGACATCATGGTCACGATGGGAGCAAAATAGCCGCGAGATGACTAGAGTGGCCTTGCCAATGATGCACGGGAGCTAGAAGTAAGAGATGGTTTCCTTTCTCTCATCATCTTAGGCGGCGTGTATCCGGAAGACTATAGGCTCATGGCTTGCCAATGAATCTGATGATGCGTGACATGAGGGTTTCTTGTAGGACAAGAGGGGAACACGCCTACTGGTTGGAGTATTATGTGTCGAGGCAGTCACTGCATATTAGAACAGGTTTGAAAGCAAGCCGCCGTCAGTTTGTGCGGACACAGCAGCCTGAGTAACCCATTTCTTGGATGTCAGTAAAAGCCCAGGCATTGTGTGTCACCAGAGTTTGCGGAAAATCACATCCCAGGCAATTTTGGGCACCAAAGCGCTTGGAGCGAATGCGCACAATCAAGGGGTCGTTTGGTGTAGATATCAGCCCATGTTGGCCGCACAACAGCCAGACGTTGAACGTTTTCTCGTTGGAATCATATGTCGTAGTGTACAGAGTACGGAGTACTACGGAGCACAGCATTCAAATATTTCATGGTCAGACTGGCAAAAAGCCAAGCCACCATGGCCGGAGGAACCCCTGCTTAAACTTTGACTTTGGCGCTTAATCAAGAATCATGATTGGCTGGCGTCGCGGCGGGGGACGCCTGGCCGCCAATCATGGCACAGTTCACAATCTGGGGTCGCACGCCGCGAGGGGCAAACCCAGCATTTGTCCTACAGCCAACTCCATCACGCGTCACGGCGTCGTGCCACCTACGGTCTTGGTGTCGGCAGTCTGCTTAGCTGCAAGCCTCGAGCTGCCCAATCAATCTCACAACCAGACCTCATGACTGCCTGTCCTGCTCGCTGGAGCTGCGGTGCCCCAGTCACTTGGGCGGTGCAGCGTGCGGCCACGCTTTGGGGGCGACTGGAATGATGAAATCTGTCTAGGAACCGACGGCTTGTGTCACCACACCTCGACGCACAAACCACCATTATATCCTCCCGTTGGTCCAGCATTCCGCTTTTGGTGATAGATTCATTTTGGTGTTGGTTGCGCTTGACTTTTCTTTTTCGGGCGTCCTATTTGGTTGCTGCGCTCCGTTCAGGTCCGCCGATACGGCTGGCGATCGAGGCTGAGGCGGGAGTAGCAGGTGCGCAGCGCGAAAGCCATATTGGCCTGGGCTGTCGAAGGGCCAAGATGAGGATCGCTTGTCTTCAGTTTGCGCCGCAGGTTGGGGATGTGGACAATAATCTCAACCGGGCGGATGCGATTTTAAGTCGCGTAGATCCCGAGGCTCTTGATCTGCTGGTCCTGCCGGAGCTGGCATTTTCTGGTACGTCCGCCCTGCGTGAAGACTCGGTGATGCACGGACTTGGACTCTGCGTCTGGTTGGGGCCTGCTCGGCCGCTGATTGAGAGACAAGAAGACCCGGGGAGCGAAACATTGTCGAATTTTCTAACTCCAGTGTAGGATACAACTTCAAGTCTTTGGGCGATATATCGCAATTCCTCGAACCCTCAGTTTCTGGCATCAGCTCCTTGTGGGCCCGAACTACCGCCTTGAAATACGACTGTACCGTCATCGCTGGCTATCCTGAAAAGGTCGACCCGACTTTCAAGTGGCCGACAAACCCGGAGTATTACAATGCAGCCATTATTGTCAACGGCGAGGGAGAGACGGTGGCCAACTACCGAAAGACTCACCTGTACTACACAGACGAAACATGGGCTCTGGAAGGGCCTGCCGGATTCTTTGGCGAGAGACTGGATGGTCTGGGACCTACTGCTATCGGAATTTGCATGGACCTCAAGTACGTGTAATTGCAGCCAGATTGAGATTGTTGCCAAATTTCAGACTCGCATGTTCTAATGTGTATCGCAGCCCGTACAAATTTGAGGCACCGTGGGATAAGTTCGAGTTTGCCCAGCATGTTTTAGACTGCGGAGCTCGTCTGGTTGTGATATCCATGGCTTGGATAACCAATGACGATCCCCGTCAGTTTAGTCGTATGCCTCAAGAACCAGACATGAACACTCTGCTCTATTGGGTTTCCCGCCTTGAACCAATAATACGAGCAGAGTCCACCGAGGAGGTTATAGTAGTGTTTGCGAATCGTACTGGCATGGAGGGGGAAGTCACGTATGCTGGCACCAGTGCTGTCATCGGCATCGAATCTGGCGAAGTTCGAGTATACGGAATCCTCGGCCGCGGCGACAAAGAGCTGCTTGTTGTCGATACTGATGCAGCTCCATATGCCAAATTAGTATATCGCCCTGGAGAGAACGACCCTGAAGTCGAGGCTGGGGAGCCAGAGGAAAACGACCACCGTGCGGACTACGAGAACTATCGCTCTCAACATCCTCAAGGCCGAAAAGAGTCTGAAGATCCACCCTCGAGCGGCCGTCAGAGGTTCCAAGGCGAATCCGACGCTACTCAAGGGAAGAATCTGTCTGCCGACTACAGCAGAAACGCTTCGTTCAGTCAACCTCACTCAGATGCGTCCATGAGAAATGGCCTAGAGGGTTCGGATATTCACACACCAACAGCTCCGAGCCCAACGCCTCATTCGCTCCGGCCTAGGCTCATGGTTTCAACAAATCACCCCAACAGCCAGAGATATCTGAATGGACCTTCTCCTGCATCATATTCGGCAAACGCTAGCAGTGGGCCTTTCAAAATTCTGGGGGGAGAGGTCAGTTTCCATGGGTCAAACGTCAATGCTGAACTATCCCCATGGGCGGCGTCCGAGTCGCCTTTCGAGTCGTCCCGAGTTTGCTGGCCATCTGCACTGTTTTCCCCAGCTGAAGTGCCTGATTCAAGATGGACATTTCCAGATGAAGAGGATGAACTTATCGCCTCGGAAGGTTCGGCACTCGCGAACCAGGAAAATCGCTATAGCATCAGGTCTGATGTTTCTGTGTGGAATAACCAGCCGGGTCGTCCACCGAGCATTGCCAACCACATGATCAACCGGTCCACATCATCTCATGAGACATCGCTGGTCCGAATTCGTCCCGATGCCCCTGAACGAATATCGCCAATGAATAACCTCGCTGATGCCTCGAGACAAGAGTCTCTCCCAATGCACCCTTACTCCTTAGAGTCTCGGCACAGAAATCGATCTCGTGGTCATGAGAGATCAAGGTCAGACGTCGTAGGCAAGAACGAGCTTGGAGTTGTCTGCCGAAGACGGCAAGACATGGCCATGTTCGCCGACATATCTCAGCAACAACACTTCTCCTTCAATGGCAACCGAGACCGTTCAAAGTCTACCTCTGGACATCAAGCCTCGAGAAGTCAGAGCAAGAGCCGGAGCAAGAGCCGGAGCAGGAGACCAATCCCAATGCTACAAGACCATGGCTATGACCGCAGCAAAATGACTGCTTCGATACCAATAGCCCTCAGCCCGGATCCCGCCAATTCTGCGGACTCCAGAGACTCGAGTAATACGAGTAGACAGCGGCGGCCCAATCCTGCGCCCCAAGATCCGCCAATTCTACGCCCCGTTTCAAGCGGTCGTATCAGACAAAGGAGTAGCTCCAAAGGGAGAATTGGTGACCAGCCTTCGTCTAGAAACGCCTTCATGCAGCGCGAAATAAGGTCCAACACACCCGCCAAACTTGTCGACAGAGCAACAAGCCGTGGTCGTCGGCGCGAGGATAGACCCGCCACGGATCAACAAGCTGCCACGCCTGGAAGCCGCGAACGGCGCAACAGCGCAAACAACAGCCGAAACCGTCACCCCGAAACCGTAGACCTATCTCAGTTCGCACTTATCGAAGAGTACACCGCGCCCAATTGTCCCGTCCACGGCTCCCGATCCCGCTCCAGAACCGGGCAGCAGAGCCACCAACCCGGGAACAATAGGCCAGCAACTACTACGCCGGCTCGCCCTCCTGCCCAGCCAGAGAGAGTAGGAAGGCGATCGACACAAAATACACCACGACCAGCGAGCAGGAAGGACGCTCCGGAGGTTGCCACGCGGTCGCCCAAACCTCAGGTGTCGCCGAAGCTGGACGCGAAGAATCCCAAAACTCTAAAGACATCGAGCTCTGCAGCTACCAGGTCAAAGATTCGTGACACTGGCCACAAGTCATCTGATGTAGTGAAGACGATGGTTCCCGAGCCACTTAACCTCAAAGCACCACAGGGTCCAAAGACACCCAAGGCCATGGTCCTTGTGAGCGACGGCAAGATAGACCCACTAGAGCTCATGGCGTCGTTGAGATGTGTGGAACGGTCGCTTGCCAAGTCTATAAATCGGCCGCGGAGCGCAATTTGGTAGAGGGTACACGACATTTGTACCATGTATGGGATATAGGGAGTGTTGGTTTGCGTGGTCGTCTTTGTTGGTTGGGTGGTCTTTCGTGTCCATATTTTTGTTGAAACCTGGCAACATCTACATATTCTTGTTTTTTTTTGGGATGAATAAACGGCCGTGTTGAGTTTGTAGAATTTGTGATTTGCAGGCTGTCGTGGGGATAGTGAGCGATATGCGATATGTTCTGTGGCGTCTTTGTGGTGTTGACTGGTGATGCTACGGCAGAGGAGCTCCCGAGGACCGTGATTTTACCATATTTTGTTTAGTCCGTACGTTGTAATGGAATAATCGCCATGCAGTCTTGTCGCTGAGGAGTTCGGGAACAATTGGCTTGCTCAGTACGGAGTAGGGCATATGTGATTCGTATTGACACTACTCCGTATGCAGAAGGCTGATGTTGAAACGAGTGGGACATGAGACCCACTCGGGACCGGCCCGTCAAGCCATCGAATTACGTGCTTCGGGACGTACAGGGTGCTCGCTGGATAATTCGGCACGGAATGAAGGCAAGTCACGTCAAAAGGTCTTTGAGTACGGAGTACAAACACCCAAGTTCACAAAGGCCCATGATGGGGACGGGCCGGTGCCAAGATGCATGCGCCGTTGGGGAATTGGTGGGGGAATGGACTGCTCTCAACCTCTCAATCACAAAGAGACATGGCGAGGATTGGCTGCGA